CGGTAGGGATGAGCGTGCGCAGCGCCGTGAAGGCCGTGTTCACGCTGTTGGTGCGGTCCCGTTCGCGCGCGTTTGCCGTGTGCCGCTGCCGGGGCTCGCGGCCGGGCCGCCCCCCAGGCCCTGAGCCGCCGCCCACAGCCCGCCGGCCCCCGGCCCGCCTCCGGGCGCCCTGGAGGCCGCAGCGCGCGGCGTGCACGCGGCAGGGCTTCTCGTCGGAGCCCGAGCTCTCGCTGCCGCGGTCCTCGTCCTCCGACAGCGGGCTCACCTCGGGGTACAGGTAGCGGCCGGGCGGCGCCGAGCGCAGCATGGCGAGGGATGTGGCCGGCGGGCGCGCCGTCAGCTCCGCCGCGCGCAGCGCATGCCGCCACCGGGCCTCGCGGGCGGGCGGGCGCCGGGCCGGGGAGCGCGGGTCTCTGGGCGCCCGCGGTGGCGGCTGCGGCGCCGCGCGCACGTGTGCGTCCCGGGCTGGAGCGGGGCCGCGGGCCGGGCCTTTATAGCGGCGGCGGCCCCTCCCCCGCGCCGGCCCGCCCTCCTCCCCGCCTCCCGGCCCCTGGAGGCGCTCGGAGCAGGGGCCCTGCGTCCCTCTGCCTTCGCCACGCTGAAGGGGCCTGGAGCATCTTGCTGTCTCCGGGAAGCAGGAGCCAGTTTGGGTGGTGCTGGGGCTGTGTAGCCCCCTCCCGCCGCCCCTCAGCAGGGGCAGGAGGGTCAAGTGGGACCCATGACCCGGCCTTCTGCCCTGGCATGACCAAGTTAACCCAGCTGCCCTGGCCCAGGCGCGTGGCCACACCCTGTCTGTCTCTCCCTCCCCTGTACACTTGGGCCTTCTGTGCCAGGCAAAGGGGGGGGCACAGAGGAGCACTCAGGGGCTGCACTTCAGCCCCAAACCCCTTGGCTGCCCCCTCCAGATTTGCCCGTGGGGTCGCCCGGTGGCACAGCCTGTCTGTCCTGCACCTGCCCCCTTCTGGCATCAGCAGCACCCTCCAGGTCTGGCATAAGTTGTGCTCTCTGCTTGGATCCCTCTCCCCTTTCCTGGCTCATGCTGCTCCCCTGCTCTGGAGAAGCCACCCCGTTACCCTGCCCAGTGCTCCTGTGGGCCTTCTCCCCCTGGCCACTGGGCCCCCCAGGGTCTGTCCAGTTCAGGGGTGGCTGTGTAGACCTGGGGGCACGGGAGAGAGACAACCCCCCTCCCCAGTGCTGAGCAGAAGGGAAGGCATTCCTAACAGTGGGCAAGGGCACAGGGGGTACCCCTGGGCATGGGCCTGCTGGGAGGACTGAAGTCAGCAGGTCTTGGGAGGGGCAGGTGCAGAGGAACAGGGCCCAGGGGTCCTGTTCTGCTGCAAAGGGGACCTCAGGCTCCCAGCTGTGCTCAGTCTTTTCGGGGCCCCTCCCCCTGTGGCTACTGTTGCAGGAAGCGGCCGCCTGGGCAGCAGTCTCCATGCTGGGCGGAGGGAGGGTGGTGGCTGGCAGGGGCCTCGACCAGGAATGTGTGTCCGGGAATGTAGCTGTTCTGCCCGCTGGAGGTGGGGTGGGGGGCAGGACCGGGGGAGCTGGGGGTCCTCAAAAGGTTGCAGGGCAGAATGCAGTGGCTTCTGCCTCCCCTTTGAGTGGGTTGGTGGGGTCTTCCCTGAGTCCCTGCCTGTGGCTACCTACTTTTGCCTAAGGCCCCCGCCAGGGGAGGGAGCCCGCGGGCGATGAGGTCACCCTTGTCTGTGGCTGCCCAGAGCCCTGGCCAAGGAATCCAGAGGGAGGCTCTGGGGTTGGCACCACTTCAGTGGAAAATGTGAAGGTACAGCTCCGGCGCCTCTGGGGCTCAGGGGGGTGGGGGGGCAGCGCCGGCCGCTGCGCCACGTCCCACCCCAGGGAGAGGCACGTGTCAGGGTGCCTGGGTGCTGCCCCTGGCCAGCCTTGAGGCCACTCCCTTTGCTTTTGCCCCCCCCCATCTGTCTCCTGGGGGCTCGAAGGGAGGGATGGGCATGGTGGGTGTCCAGTGCTGACACGCTGGCCTGCTGCCACAGGATGTCCGGAACACGGTGGGCAATGTGCCCCTGGAGTGGTACGATGACTTCCCCCACGTGGGCTACGACCTCGATGGCAAGCGCATCTACAAGCCCATACGTACACGCGACGAGCTGGACCAGTTCCTGGACAAGATGGATGACCCTGACTACTGGTAAGCTGGCGTGGGGCCAGGCCTGCTGGGCAGGGCTTGAACATGGCTCTGATGGGTGGCCCCCCTAGGCGCACAGTGCAGGACCGGATGACGGGACGTGATGTGCGGCTGACAGATGAGCAGGTGGCCCTAGTCCAGCGGCTGCAAAGGGGCCAGTTTGGGGACGTGAGCTTTGATCCATATGAGGTAGGTGGCAGCAGCTGGCCCCTGGGGTCTGCAGGCACTTGCAGGGCCCTGGCCCACAGGCCTGTGCTTGTTCCCCCAGCCAGCTGTGGACTTCTTCAGTGGGGACCTCATGATCCACCCGGTGACCAACCGACCTGCCGACAAGCGCAGCTTCATCCCGTCCCTGGTGGAGAAGGAGAAGGTGGGTGCAGCCCTGTCCTCCAGGGTGCGGCCCCCACTGCTCCCACCCTGACCTGGCCTGTGTGTGCAGGTCTCCCGCCTGGTGCATGCCATCAAGATGGGCTGGATCCAGCCTCGCCGGCCCCGGGACCCCACCCCTACCTTCTATGACCTGTGGGCCCAGGAGGACCCCAACGCTGTGCTGGGACGTCACAAGATGCACGTGCCTGCTCCCAAGCTGGCCCTGCCTGGCCACGCCGAGTCCTACAACCCACCTCCTGAGTACCTGCCCAGCGAGGAGGAGGTGGGCCTGGTGCTGGGGTGGGGGTCTGTACTCCAGCTCCCAGCCCTGCACTCCTGGCTCATCCTTGTCTCCACAGCGCCTGGCATGGGAGCAGCAAGAGCCGGCTGAGAGGAAACTCAACTTCCTGCCACGCAAGTTCCCCAGCCTGCGGGCCGTGCCTGCCTACGGCCGCTTCATCCAGGAGCGCTTCGAACGCTGCCTCGATCTCTATCTGTGCCCGCGGCAGCGCAAGATGAGGGTATGTGGGGCAGCGGGGCACCTGGGCAGGGGACGGGGGACCATGGGACGGGATGGGAGCCGGGTGACCACGTGCTCTCCTGCTCCAGGTGAATGTGGACCCTGAAGACCTCATCCCCAAGCTGCCCCGGCCACGGGACCTGCAGCCTTTCCCCACGTGCCAGGCCCTGGTAAGCAGGTGGGGTGGGTGGGGGGGCACACCCTTCTCTTTGTCCATGTCCTCACTGCCCCTTCTCTGCAGGTTTACAGGGGTCATGGAGACCTTGTCCGCTGCCTTAGCGTCTCCCCGGGGGGCCAGTGGCTGGCTTCAGGTGGGCCTGAGGTGGGGGCAACCCCAGCATGGGGGCCTGGGCAGGAGGGCCAGGTGCTGAGGGCCCTTGTCTGCTATGTCCAGGCTCTGACGACGGCTCGGTGCGGCTCTGGGAGGTGGCCACCGCCCGCTGCATGAGGACTGTGCCTGTGGGGGGTGTGGTGAGGAGCGTGGCCTGGAACCCCCACCCTACCATCTGCCTGGTGGCTGTGGCAGTGTAAGTGTGAGGCCCGGGGGTCCCTGTGGCAGCAGGGGAGGGCCCTAGGCCTGAAGGGCTGCATCTGGCTTTGGCCTGCAGAGAGGACGCGGTGCTGCTGCTGAACCCGGCCCTGGGGGACCGGCTGGTGGTGGGCAGCACGGACCAGCTGCTGAGCGGCTTCACCCCACCCGCGGAGCCCGCCCTGCAGCCCGCCCACTGGCTGGAAGCCTCAGAGGAGGAGCGCCAGGAGGGCCTGCGGCTGCGCATCCGCCACGGCAAGGTGTGGGGGCCGTGGAGGTTGGGGGAATGGGGCACAAGGCAGGGGAGGGCCCGGCTCAGCCACCCTCGTTCTCCTGCAGCCAGTGACACAGGTGACCTGGCACGGGCGAGGGGACTACATGGCTGTGGTGCTGGCGGCCCCGGGCCACACCCAGGTGCTGATCCACCAGCTGAGCCGGCGGCGGAGCCAGAGCCCCTTCCGCCGGAGCCACGGACAGGTGCAGCGTGTGGCCTTCCACCCTGTGCGGCCCTTCCTGCTCGTGGCCTCCCAGCGCAGCGTCCGCCTCTACCACCTGCTGCGCCAGGAGCTAACCAAGAAGCTGATGCCAAACTGCAAGTGGGTGTCCAGCCTGGCGGTGCACCCCGCAGGTGAGGGCATGGGGGGTGCACCCGGCAGGTGGGGCGTGTACCCTGCCAGGCATGGCTCTCGGGTCCCCACCACCACGTCTGCCCCCAGGTGACAACGTCATCTGTGGCAGCTATGACAGCAAGTTGGTGTGGTTTGACCTGGACCTTTCCACTCGGCCATACAGGGTGCTAAGGTGAGGTGCTGGTGAGGGTGTGGTGGGCTCCTCCCCCTTCCTGAGCCTGCTCTCAATCAGGTCCTCCCCAGGCACCACAAGAAGGCCCTGCGGGCAGTGGCTTTCCACCCCCAGTACCCGCTCTTCGCCTCTGGCTCTGACGACGGCAGTGTCATCGTTTGCCATGGGATGGTGTATAAGTGAGTGCTGACCCCTGCCCACCCTGTCCATGCTGGGGGGGCCCGTGCCGCCCGTGACCTGAGCCCCTTTCCTCGCCAACAGTGACCTGCTGCAGAACCCGCTGCTGGTGCCCGTGAAGGTGCTGAGGGGGCACGTGCTGACGCGAGACCTGGGCGTACTGGACGTGGCCTTCCACCCCACGCAGCCATGGGTCTTCTCCTCAGGCGCCGACGGCACCATCCGCCTCTTCACCTAGGCTGCCCTGCTCCCCCCTGGGCTGCGTGTGCATCCCGGACCCTCAATAGAGTGTTTGTCCCAGCTGACTGGTGCTGTGACCTTGAATCCTGGGTTCCTGACCACTTCCCCTCCCTCACTGAATCTCCCCAGACAGCAGGGGACACCCTACTGACCTGTCCCAGAAGGAAAGGCTGCGTCATCGCACCCTACATCACCTGCTGAGGAGCAAAGGGCTTTATTGGCAACTGAGTAGGACACTGACTGGCCCCCATCCCACTTGGCCTCCAGCAGCCTCCTCGAGGGGCAGGTGTTTGACCCCCACAGGGGCCAGGCGGCTCCGCAGTCTGCTCTCCAGCAGGGGCTCCTCAGGCCTGTCTCGGAGGTTCAGGCCCGGACACGGCCTGGGCTGGCATTGCTGGTGGGGACAGCAGCGCCGCTGGGGGAGCCTCAGGCGAACTTCACCAGGCGGCCCAGGGTCTCGGCGGCCTTCATGCGCACGGCGGGGGCTGGGTCCTTGAGCAGGAGCTGGAGTGCTGGGGGACAGGGAGCTGCTGCCAGGGGCGCCTCTGTGGCCCTTTGAGAACTGACTCTGAGCCTGGGGTTCCCGCCATCACCCCCTAACGAGCTGTGGCTAGGGCTGCTCCCGCCCCCTTCCCGGCGCACCGAGCCTGGGGGGCCAGACCTCATGATGCACCCCCTACTCTGTGCGTGGGGCCGCCCGCCCACCACCCTCCTAAGACAGGCCTCTGCCGGGAGGGCTCAGGAGCCAACGGAAAGATAGTTTTTCCTTTTTTAGTGTTTTTTAAGCTCTTTTGGAACAGTTAAGAAGTTTCCGTGAATTACTAGAGACGATGAGGTCACCAGTGACAGGGAAAAAATCCTTGAAATCCAGGAAAATCACTTAGTCCCCCCTGGTGCCCACAGGGTCAGCAGGGCCCTGTGCAGCCTGGCAGATTGAAGGTGGCAGGGGGGCCTTTGGGCCCCTGACCCCGTGGGGGGGTACATGTGCATGGACTTGGGTGGGGCGCTCACCCGCAGTGAGCTGCTCCAGGTCCACTTGCAGCCGGTGCTCTGGCTCTACGTGCAGCACCAGGAACCCTGCAGGCAGGGGTCAGGGTCAGGGTCAGGGTCAGGGTCAGGCATGGGCTGTGGAGGCTCGAGGGGCGGCACTCACCCGTGAGCATGGGGGCAGCAGCACGGATGTCCTCCCAGCTGCTTTTGAAGTAGAACAGGCTGGTGCTCACCAGGCGGCCCAGCAGGTCCGGGAAGTGGTGCATCTACAGAGAGGCTGTCAGCCTGACTCCCACGCGCACACGCCTACACGCACACCCTTGCAGCCCTGCCCCTCACCAGGTGCTTGCAGGTGGTGTTGAGGAATTCACCAAAGTGCAGGCTCCAGCCCTCCTGCAGGTGCTTCTGGAAGGCGGCCGCCAGCTCCTCACACTCCAGGTTGGGGCCACACATGCGCAGGGCAAACCTGCAGGCCTGTGGGCACAACACTGAGTCCCTGAGTCCCTAAGCCTGGCTTGGCCCACACACCTCCCACTGGCTACTCACACTGGCCACAGGCGCCTGGGGGTCCCGCAGGTGCAGCAGCAGGGGCGCCAGCCCACCAACGACCTGCTCCAGGAAGACATCCTCACAGTCCCCATGGCAGGCCTTGTTGAGATACCCAAAGAGGCGGATGGACGCAGAACGGAACTCCATCTTCTCCTGGCGGGGGGCAGGTGTCACCCCAGGGGGGCCTCCCCAGCCTTGCCCACCAGTTGGTGCCAGGCCCTGGGCCCCTTCCCTATGCCTTCTTCCTTGTTTCCATGCCCTGGACGCTGTCCCCGCCTGGCACGGGCTTGGAGGGCTGGGGCTCGGGAGCAGTGATAGGGAGGCTGGCAAGAAAAGACCCCTCGCAGGGGTTTGGGGAGTGCTGGGGGCCCTGAGCCGCACTCCAGAGGATCTGTGTGTGCGGTGTGGATGCACGGCTTGTGGGACCCAGGGAGCTTAAGGCTCTTGAGGAAGAGTCAGGGAGCAGGCGCTGGGGTGGGGATGTTAGGCCATTGGGTGCCCCCCGCTCTCTGCCTAGCCTACACTGTCAAAGAAGGGCCGGATGCGGATGGCAACGTGCAGCAGCACAGGGCGCAGGTCCCGGGGCTCCACCAGGTCCAGCAGCCTCGCAAGGCCCACCATGGCCTCCAGGGCCACCAGGCTGTGCCGGTCGTCCCCGTCGTCTAGCCCACCGATCATGGCTGTTAGGAGCTGGGGGCCATGGGCCCGAACCTGGGGATACCCTGCATTCAGTTGTGTTCCCAGGTCAAGCCCTGCTGCCTGTCACACGTCATGGCACAGTGTGATGCAGCCCCCACCCTGCAGACTTGCCCCTTCCCCATACCGCAGCAGTCCAAGCTGCCTCTCTGTCCATGCCCACCGCCCACACCGTGTCCGCTTGGGTTTCCTCACTGTCAACCACAGTTATCCTGTCCATCCTCCACGGGCAGGGCTGATGGGCTGGCTGGTTAGCTCACCTTATCGGGGGAGCTGGAGGCGATGTTGGCTAGGCCACGGAGCACCAGCCGCCGTACACTGGCACATGTGTCCTTCTGCCGGGCCGCCAGGTTGTCCAGCAACGACTCCAAAAGCATCAGGTCATTCACCACGTTGCTGTTGAGCAGCTGGAGGCAGAGGTGCTGGGGACCACCCACTCCCACTGACCCCCAGAAGCTTGCCCTACCCCAGCCAGCCGAAGCCCAGGCCACATCCCACTTAGATGGGCAGCAAGACTGCCCCCAGCCCCTCCCCCACCACTGTGCTGCTGGGCAGTCCCAGTCCAAGGTCGTTGTGAGGAGTGGACACAGCAGAGGCCAGCTGAGGGCCTCACGGGCAAAGGCTGGGCTCGTGGCCTCCCTTCATCCTCTTCCCCAACTTGTGTCCACGGCCCAGGCATGGCCCCCATTGCTGTGGCCTTCCTTGGGCAAATTTTAGGCATTGTCAGCCACTAGAAGCTACCAAGGGAGCCTTGGGGGCCCTGGCTGCTGGCCTGCCCCACTGAGGGCCCAGCAGTGCTTCAGGCCAGCACAGGCTGTGCACAGCTGAAGCCTCCCTTCACTGGGCACAGTGTGGCCCCGTGACTTCTGCACCCACCAGCACCAAGTGGGGGCTGGGCAATGGCTCTGGCTGGCAAGGACAGTGCCCGCCTGTCGGAGGCTTCACCCTGCCCTGCCAGGCCTCTTCTAGCAAACAGCTCCTACCTCAGCAAGGAAGGCTGTGGAGGTGACCCTCTGGATCTCGTAAACACTGCTCTGTGAGTTCACGAGCTCCTTCATCACCAGGGGCAGCCGGGGGCCTGCAAACTTTGCCATGGCACTGAGGAAAGAGGTCACACGGTACAGGGGCTGAGGCCTCAGGCTGCTCCCCAGCCCACCCTGTACGGTCAGAGCCCTCTAGCTCATGAGCCCCTCCACCCAGCTGCCAGGCCCTGCGTGTCCTCCCTCCCTCTCAGACGCCCCTGCTAGCCCTCCTCTCCAGGCCTCTGTAGAGGGGCCTCCCCGCCCCCCACCAGCAGTCAGAGCACTGAGCACACTGCTGCCTTCCTGGCCTCCCCATTTCACATGCCACGTGGGGCCCCAAGCTGGCCCTCAAGGCCCATGTGCCACTTCCTCACACTGGGCACACTGGCTCAGGCAGCTCAGTCCCCTGCATGAGCCAGTGGGGGTCTTCATCTGTGCCTTCCTGTGGTCCCATGGCCCCCAGATGGTGCCTGGACAGGACCTGGCCTGCTAGAGCTCAGCCAGCGCTGGGATGGTGTGCGCAAGTGCAGCCTGCTGACCTCGCCAGCCGGGCGACGCCCTCCTCGTGCCCTGCTGAGGTCCTGAGCAGCTCCCAGGCTCCCTCCAGCTCCATACGCTGCACCACGTCCTCATTACCACCTCGGAGCAGCATGGTCTGCAGGGCATCCACTGCGGAGCTGTGGGAATGCACAGGGGTGTGGGCTTGGCTGGTGGGGGCATGGAGCAGAGGCCCTGGTGTACCCCTCCACTCTGCACCTCGCCTGCACACACAGCCGTGCTCTCAGGAGGGCTGTCCCAGGGCTGCCTGGCCGCGTACTGCCTGCAACATCCCATAGGGAGCAGACTCTGGGTGACCTGCTGGGACATCCTCAGCTCACTCTTTCCTCCAAGCTGGGCCCCTCTAGGTGGCTTCCACCCGTCTGGTCTCAGGCTGTGACACTGCACCTGACCCCCACCCCTGTGAGGGCAGGTGGGGGCTCTGCAGGCAGTGTCCCCAAGGCCCTCTGGAAGCAGGCAGGGCCCTCTGGCACTTTTAGGGTCACAACCAGCTGCTTTTCCACTTGCCTTAAAGACCTTCATTTAATTAAAAAAAAAAAGATGAAAATGAAGAAAATCCTTCATAAAAGTGAACCCAGAGGGCAGGCTGGGGGTCAAGTCCTGCCTGGGGAGGGCACGAGGCCCACTGTCAATGGGCTGGGTGGAGCAGAGGCCTCTAGGCCCCAGAGCCAGTCCCTACACCCACTCTACTGGGACCCAGGGCTGCAGCTGTGGCACAGACACGTCTGGCCTCACGGCTCCTCCTGGCACCTGGCCTGCCACATATGGGCCCAGCCCAGACACTGCCGGGCATCCACAGGGGCCAAGTCCATAGCCCAGGCCCAGGCCTGGACCCCTACGCAGCCTGTCCCTGTACCTCAGAAGCCTCGGCTCTCAGTGTGCATGGCCATGCCCACCCCAGGAGGCCCCGGAGCCCCGTGGGAAGGGACAGGAGGTAGGACCCTGCTCCACTCCCAGACATTCGACACGACGCAAGTGAGGAAGACACCCGAACGTGGCTGAGAGCTGCAGCGGCTGATGGCGAGTGTCCAGCTTTGTCCACCAACTCAGCCAGTCGGGGGTGCTGGGTGCGGGCTGTGCCCTGCTGCCCCCCTGAGCCCTGCAGTCCTTGGCCCTCCCATCTCCCTGCAGGAGGGGCCAGAGCTGACAGGGCCCAGCCAGAACTTAGCATCTGCCCGTCGCTCGCGTAAACCCTCCCCCAGCTCGGCGGAGGCCCTCAGCACTCCTGGGGCCGCAGCAGGGGCAGGACCCCATGACAAGGTCTGGGGAGAGGGCAGCGTCAGCCCGACACCCGCAGAACTTCACACCAAAGCCTGTGGCCAGAGAGATGGCTCATCAGGGTTCTCAGAACCACGCAGGGAGGGCCTGGGGGCCACACCGCACGCTGACCTCTCCTCCGCACATTGGCCACCGCACACATCAGGCCCCACACCAGTCTGCAGATGCCGAGTCCACGAAGATCATCCCCAGGAGCTCCTGGCCCAAGGGGAGACGTCCGCACACAGGGCGGTGCACCAGACATGCCAAGGGGACAGACGCAGCCGGCAAGCATGTCCTGCCCAGCGCTAGCTGACACACACTCTCCCGTGACACAGACGGCTTGGTGGCTGGGGTGCAGGGGAATGGTGGGCCTGGGGGACAGGTCTTGCTGGCTGCACCATGGCCTCACACATGGATCTAGGGAAGTGGCAGAGAAGGCACTGTGTGACAGGCTTGTTTGGGACCCTGTACCTGCGGTCCTGTGAGATTTCCAGGCTGGCCCACACAGGGAGCGAGGACCCAATCAGGCCTGAAGGTCTGCCACTGAGGGGACTCAGGGGGCTCGGCAGCCCGGAAGGCAGATGCTGGCAGCCTCCCCCAGGCCAGCATCATGAACACAGCCTGCTGCCCTCACCCTTGGCCCAGCCCTGTCCCCATGGTCATTCCTAGGTGGCATGAGGCCTGTGGGGATGTCAGCAGGGGAGCGGCCTGGTATCTGCCTACAGCTGGACAGGCTCCCAGTGAGCCCTCACTGAGTGTCCACGGACTGCACCCCCTCTGGGGCTCTCTCCCCAGAGAGAAAACACTAGCAGGCAGCTCCTGCTGTACTAGGAGCCCTGAGATGCCAGCAGAGGGCCCAGACCCCATAGGGCAGACCCTTGAATGTAGGGCAGCCCAACACTGACTGCAGGCACAGAGAGAACCACTTTGGCCACTGTGGTCACTGGGCGGATGCCCACGGTGTGCCACTGAGGGGTCACCCACAGCATGAGCGGGACCAGTCACTGGACCCAGGTCCACAAAGCCACACCAGTCCTGGCCAGTTGCTGTGGTACAAGCGAGGGTCCAGAGCTCCACCCCGCACTCCAGGCCTCGAGGCTCAGTTGAGGTGCCACCTGGACCAGGGGCTCTGCTCCAGGCTGAAACCAGCATGCTCGGACTTCTCGACCAGTTTCAACAGATCACCAGTGGTGAGGCGCAAGGGTGGCACAGGAACACGTGAACCGTTTACATGAGGGAGGGGGCTTCTTGCCAGAATTTTTGTGGATGTGGGTTTGCCAGGGTCTGACTCGCCAACTGATGGCTTCCATCAGCCGAGACCTGTGCCTGCTCTGCCTGCATCCCAGCTCAGGGCTGGCAGCCCAGGGGCCCCGGCTGGGGCGTGGGGTCTGTAGCCACCAAAGCTGCCAGGCCGTGGAGCTAAATCTCGGCATGCCAGGCCCAGGGCTGGTCGGGACAGTGTCCGCTGGTCCGTTCACATTTTCCACTTGGTCTGTGCGAGCTGGGCAGGCCCTGGCACACAGCCTCTGCTAGAGTTTATGAGCTGGTCCTGGGGAGCTGCAGCCTTGGAACGGGGTGGGGCGAGCTGACATTCTCCCCTGTGTGTCCCCAGCCCAGGGGCACATCCAAGCCCCATTGCTGGGATGGGTTGGGAGGCAGCCCAGGCTCATGGTTCCTCAGGCACATGGCCCCAGGATGGCAGCTTCCTCTGTTCACCCTGTGGCCCTAGGCGGCTGTTTGGAGCCCTGGGGTGCCACCATAGTAGGCCTGGGAATGGCCTCAGAGGCCAGGATGGGCAGGCAGATGTCCAGGCTGTCAAAGCTCTGAGCACACTGACCTCAGCAAGAGGCTCCGCCCACCTGTCCTGGTCTCGTGCCCCAGGACCCAAGATCCACTCAGCAGAGACCCAGGATCCCAGACCCCAGTGAAAGCTGAGACAGAAGCTGCCTGCACAGGCTGGTGGTATGGGGGGCCTGGCATCGAGCCCTCCCTGCAGGGCTGGGGGCCGACCTAGGCGGGAGGTCCCTCAGGGGAGGCAGTGAGGCCACTGCAGAGTTTCTGTCTGAAGGTGTGGCCCTGATTGAGTGTAGGAGGAGCTAGAACTCAGAGCTGAGGACCAAGGTTGCAAACACAGTGCTGTAGGCAGGGGCTCACTCCAGGCCCCACCCGCTCCCCAAACCCTCCCCATACCTCCACCTTTCACAGAAGCCACCCCTCTGGATCTACCTGAGCATCCCCACAAGGCCCCCGCGGCCACACAATGCCCCAGAGACTTGCAGCTGCCTTCCCCAGGGTCCCCATCCCCAACCTGGGGGAAGAGGCGAGAAGGGACGGCCCAGGGAGGCCGTGCTCCCAGCAGGGAGAGCCACAGACATCACCGGGGGAGGGCCAGCTCCTGGGCTAAGCCCCCACCACCTGGCCAGCCCTTCCTGTCATCTCCCTCACCGCTCACGGGAGCCAGGCAGCCTCGTGGAGACACATACCGGAGGCACGCACAGTGGGGCACAGACATGCTTGTGCTCAAACAACGGCGCTGGGGGCGGCAGGCATGGCCCCAGTTACCTGCAGGGCTCAAGGTTCCTGGGGGCCAGAGCCGAGCCGGCGCTTCTCTTCTCCTTGGCCTGCAGGTTCCGGGGCAGCTGGACGCCCACGGTGCAGCTGATGCGCAGCAGGAGCGCCACAAACAGCTGGGGGTAGAGCTCCAGCACCGCAGGCCCGGACGCCGGAGCTGAGGTGACCTCGCGCAGCGCACAGGTGGCCTGGGGACAGGGGCTGCCTCAGGCTCACCATCCCTCTGGGGCCATTTCTAATGAGGCCGGCCACAGTGAAGGCTGAGCCCTGACCTCAGGACCCGAACTAGCCCAATGCCCCTTCAGCATGCACCCCGGGCATCGAGGGTCTTGGTTCTGGGGAGAAGTGCATCCCGGAGGGGGGTGCAGCCCACCAGCTTGGCCTCAGGGCAGGAGCAGCATGGGGACCGTGGGGCGCAGCCTTGGGACCAGCCTCTGACCAGCTGCTCTTAGTCCTCAGAAGGGAGGAGGAAATTCTTACAGCTGCTTTACTGCCGAAAACGTTGCCAAGCCGGGTTTATTTTTTTTCCGTAGGATGAAACACAGTGCTCTCCCTTGGGGACCAACACCTGTGGGGCCTTTACGAGCCTAGGCTCGGAGCTGGCCAGCTCTGGTGCCCCAGTCAGCGGCCAGGTGCCTGTGGGGTGGCCCCCAGGCCACCTGTGGGGTCCTCCCCCCAGCACTGATGCAGCCCCTTGCCAAGCCCCCTCAAAAAGCCGAGAGAAGGGAGAACGGGGCCCCCACTCACTGCGAGGGGCAGCAGCGTGGCCACGCGGTCAGGAGAGCAGCTCAGCAGGCAGGCCCGGCTCTCTTTGAATGGGACGTCTCTGCTCATCTTCTCCAGGAGCAGCCCCAGGACCTGCGTGGTGAGGCTGGGCTCCACGGCCAGTGCCCGCCACAGGGTGCAGGTGTGGCTGGAGCAGGATGGGAGGATGGTCACATTGAGGCCACTATCAGCCCCAGCTCCATGCCCTCAGACATGCCCACCAGACTCAGCTCCAGCCAGACAGGAAACGCCATCCTGACCTAAGATCTGAACTCATCCCTTCCTCTGACCCCAGGGGTCCTTAAACAGGCTGCCGAGTAGTGAGCAGGGCTGGTGATACAGGGCAGGGAGAAGCTCTCAGCCTTACAGAGGGCCTGGGGGAGTGGGAGGGGTCCCCTTGGAGCCGTTGGAAGCAAGCACTAGCCTTTCTGGAGGAGGCAGCATCACCACAGCCTCAGGAGCACCTACAAATCATGTTTCCAGAGCAATGAGCAGTACGCGGCCGATGAGAACCAGGCACATGTGAAGTTGGCCCCGTAAGTGAGGTCCACGGAGCCCATGCACAGAGGTGCTCAGACATGGGACGTGGCTGTGCTGGCTGTGTTCACAGAGAAGTGACAACCATCAAACAGGAACTGGAAATTCTAAAAATAGACGCAGCAAATTTGAAAGAGAACAAATAGCCCTTTAGAAATGAGATGTGTAACATGATGCTTGGTGGACGTACTTGGTACCAGCCTCGATACAGCAGGAGAGAGAAATAACAAACTGGAAGATAAATGGAAGAAATTACCCAGAAACCAGCACAGAGAAAGATCACGGAAACTGAGAAGACAGAACAAGAGATGCGGGCGGTGAAACAAAATGTCTGACCAATGTTTGGGGGGCATCCGGGAAGCAGAGGAGAGAGAGAGTATCTGAAAAATGTTCAGAACTGACATCAGGCTCAAGAAGCCCAGCTGCCACCCAGCAGAAGGAAGGGAAAGAAGCCACCCGGAGCCCACGCCCAGGGTGTGCGGGTGGCAACAAGGGAACGTCGTGCGCACATCGGAGGAGAGCCAGCGACTTCCTCTGAAATGGCAGCACTGTTTAGACTACAGATGCTGGAAAACAACCATGTGGGTCCTACACGCACTAAAAGAAAATACTTGCCAAACTAGAAATCCAGCTCTACAAAAACAACATTCAAGGATGGCCAAATAAAGACACTTTCAGGGAACGGAAGCGGAGAGTTGACCACCAGCAGACCTCACCAAGGACATTCTGCAGGGTGCGCTGCAGGCAGAAAGGTGACGGAGACCGAGCTGCAGGACTGAAGAGCAAAGACCCCAGTGCTCAGTGTGGACAGACGCACACGCACCAGGGCGGCGAGGACACGAGCACTGGCAGGGACACAGGGTACGCGTGCAGCTCAACTGCTGGGCGCCGTCCACCTGTGCCCACAGCAGGGGCCCGCAAACTCTGGAGACACTTGCCACATGGTTTCCAGGCCTTGGGTGGCTCTGCTGTGGTGGAACGAAGCGACCACAGGCCCCACTGGGCACAGAGACGGGCAAGCTGGACCAACAAAACTGCACTTAAGGTCACTGAAATCAGGGTCTCACATGATTTCATATCAGTGCAATATTCTTCTTCAGTTTTTTTTAACCACGTATAAGTGTAAAACCCATTCTTAGCCCACAGGTTGTACAGAAACAGGTGGTGGACAGGACTGCGCCGATCCCTGACCTAGGGCAATTCCACTCCTATAAACAGACAGTGTGGTGCTCACAGCAACACCGCACAGCGGGAAAAGAACGACGAGAGCCCCGTGCACCCAGACAACGTGTTGTGTAAAGGAAGCTAGAAGAAAATTATGTGATTCCATTTACACTGAGTTCAAGATCAGGCAAAATGCATCTCTGGTGACAGCAGTCAGACAGCGGTGACCTTTCAGGAAGTTTCAGCCGAGGGGTGCACGGGAGCCCACTGGGGGCTGACTCTCCTCCGTCTCCCCTGGGGAGAGGCCAGGCCCACAGCAGGGGAGCTCGTGGGCCAATCACAGCGCGTGCGCGCCTCTGTGTGTAAGCTGTGCCTCCATGGGAAGGGAGCAAGGGAGGAGCGGAGGGCAGGGCAGTGAACCTGTGGCAGGGCCGCATGCACCCTCTGCATCAAGGATTCCTGATGACGACTGATTGTGGGCGCAGAGGCCCGGGCCGCCTGCAGGGTGCGAGCTCAGCTTCATGAGGTGTGACTTTTAGGGCAACCACTAAACGAACAGAAACAGAGCGTACAACTTCCAAATCAACTGAGTGGAAAAGTGAAAGTACGAAACAGACCCTGTGAAGTTCAAAAAGAGAAAGAAAGAAGATGAAGCACAAAGAGCAGTGAGACGGGCACAGACCCAGCCAGCGGGTGTGACCCACCCACAGCAGCAGGAGAGGAGTGCGGCCACCGCTCGGCCCAGAGCAAGGCTGCTGCGCCAACGGGGAGGAGCCACCAGGCGAGCGCTAACCAAAAATGCACCCCCGCAAAGGGCGTGCCAGGAGAGCAGAGGCGCCGCCCCAGAGAGACGAGACACCGTAAACTGTGGGCACCTGGCAGCACCCCTCCAAGCATCTGAGTCAAAGCAGAGCTGACAGGAGTAAAGGGCCAGCCACCCCCTCCCCGACAAGGGTCTCCCCACAGCAGGGACGGCACAGAAAGGCAGGACCAGCAGGCCCTGCACCCTGGAGATGCCGGGACCACAGCAATGGCCACAGGTGGCCTCGGCACAGGTCAAGGTGCCCCGGGGGCGCTGAGGGAGACAGGAAAGACAGAGACAGGCCCCAGGCGCGGAGAAGTCCCGCCCTTCAAGGGTCACTGCTGGGAGCTCAGGAGCTGGGAGTGTGGGCTGGGGAACACGCGGTACACGGGGGTCGAGGACCCTTCCCTGGCTCAAAGATGGGGCCTGGCCGAGGGGTCCGCTTACAGATGATGCGACACCCCACAGAGAACAGGCTCTGGAGACTGCATGGCAGAGCCTGTGAGAGCCAGCCAAGGGCACCCACTGACACCGGGGGCCGACAGAGTGCCTGCTGGGCAGCACTGGGCCCACTGAGGGCAGGCACAGCAACCCCCGGCCAGGGCCTGTCTCCCTCCCAGCCTAGACCCCGGGGACGCGCAGGCTCCCACGCAGAGGAGCTGGGGTGCAAAGGCAGGCAGCGCCCCGTCCACCCCAGCAGGCTGGCAGGCACTGGGTACCTGTCAAAGGGCAGGGGGCTGCCCAGGAGGCTGGAGACCACGGCCGTGCGGTGCTGGGACGCCAGGAGGTACACGCTGTGCTGTGCAGCCTGCAGGACATACTCCTCTCGGGTCTCCTGGAGCTTGGAGCGCAGCACACTCACGATCTCGGGCACCTGCAGGCAGATGGCCACGGCGGTCAGGCCAGACACACCCCTACGCCAGGAGCTGTCCCGCTGTGGCCAGAGCACAGCAACCAGCCGTGTGCCCACTCGCCAGGTCCGTGGGGCAGGCAGTCCTGTGAGACCCAGAGCTCCCTGCTGCTGGCCCCAACAAGGGGAGAAGGCGGAGCCCGGCACCCCAGGGACCCAGCAGCTGACAAGCTGGAGGACTGGAACAAGGACACAGATTCCACGCGGGAAGTGACAAGAGCCCAAGGGGGCCCCCTGCGCAGCAGAGGAGCTGCTGAGGCACTTGTGCAGCCGGGGTTTGTGTGGAGCACAGAGCACAGGAGGGGAAGGCCACTGGGGTGAGCACAGAGACCAGCACGCCCCAGAGGCCTCACAGTCCCAGGCAGGGTGACCCAGCCTCCTGCTGCTGGAGGCAAGACACCCACAGCTGCTCTCTGCTCCCACACAACCTCCTGTGCTGAGCGAGGAGGTGAGCAGTGGGCAGGGGACAGGGAGGACAGGGAAGGGGAGACCCAATCCCACACTGAGGCTGGAGCTGGGCCAGGAGAGGGGGCGCTGTGGCCTCAGGCGGGTTTGCAGGCTGCTGCTGCTGCAGAAGCCAGATGGGGTAACAAGGGCCAGAGAGAGGCAGGCAGAGAGAGGCAGGCAGAGCGAGGCTGCAGGCGGCCCATCCCCCAGCCTGGGAATCTCCCAAGCCCACCTGGGTCCAGTGGCCCAGCTCCACAGCCCCTGACCGGCCTCCAGCTGGCCCAGCATGGCAAGCAGACCCTGTTCCGGGTCCCTCATGTGCCCATTGTGGGTGCTGCTCCAACCACAGTGAGCGCCTCCACCCTCACTGCCAAGGCCTCACAGCTGGAAGACACCGCAGTCTGAGGTGAAAACAGACGAGACGGCACCACAGGGACACAGTCCCCTGGACAGGGGCAGCTGGCAGATGTGAGCTCCGCCAAGCCCTCAGTTCCTGGGCAGGGTTGGCCAAGGAACCCACCTGATGGCCTGGGCAGCAGGACCGGTGAGGGGGCACTGGCTGTGGGTCCGATGGTGGAAACTTCCAGGCCAGGCCCACTCCTGCTCATGCAGTGGAATGGCTTGCAACGGCATAGGGGGGACATGGGTGTGGTTCTCAGCCGGGGAGGAGGTGGAGGGGGCTGTGTGTCCAGGGCAAGGTCCCAGTCCCCCGGTGCTGCCAGGGACAGGACAGAGCCCCCAACCTGGGCTGCAGGGAGAGGTGCTGACGCTGCCATTTCTCAAAGGATTTGTAGACATAATGACACTTTTCTTCCTATGACCCCGAGTTCAGCGAGTGGATTACTCAACTCACATGCACAGCCCCCTGGCACCAGCACCCTCCTCTTAACAAGCCGGACCTCTCTGTCCCGTGCTATGCTCTGCCGGCCCGGCCCCTTGTCTGGGCCCAGCTCCGTCCCCCTGACAAGACGGCTGCCACAGGTCTGCAGAGTTTGCTTGTTGCCACATTAACACTCTCCGGATTCCTGGCTTAGTGAGTCTTGGTGGCAAGGAGGTGTTGGCCTTGGAGAAGTCTTCTCTGCACCAGCTGAGCCAGGGTCTTGCTCCTTTGTCCGCCAGCTGGGGACATACATGGACAGACAGCTAGGCTCTTCCCGTCCATTCTCACCACCGAAGCGGTACAGACCCACTGAGGCAAGTGGGAGGAGTGCCCCTCCGTCCTCCTGGGCTCCCGGCCGTGAGGGGGCAGCCATCCCCTGCAGGCATGTGGGCCTGGATGACCGTGAGTGGACGCCTTGCAAGAGCACTGGGTCACCTCCATGGTTATGAGTCCCCTCGACTTTCCCATCTCTCTTGCATTAATGCTGGTGGGACCAACGTTCCTGCAGAAACCCACCCGTTTCACGGCGGTTTCCAGCGCACCGGACGCTGCTCGTGACAGGCTTCATTATTGGTCAAGTCTCTTATGTGCACAGTCTTCTCCCTTCTTCACTTTGCATTTGGCTTTTGTGGATGTTGGCTCTGTTCCCATGACTTGTCTTGTCAAAGGTATTTCTTTATAATTGTTTCAGTGGTTTATGTATCTTCTCTAATATTTTCTTTGCTTTTGCATATTTTTTTCAACAGCTGGAAGACACTGGTAAACGTGAGCAGCTTGAATCTACGCTTCTCGTGAACTGGGACAAAGGTGTCCCGGTACTTAGATGTGGAGGGACCTCAGCTGGCGTCTGCACCAGGTTCCTGGCTTCCCTGGACTGGTGAGCAAGGTCTCTCCAGCCCCAGGACACGGGTCTGCATTCCAGCTGCCCACAGTGCAGGGTTCAGCCTGTGCCCTTCAGCTTCCGGCTGTCCCAGGCCCCCTTTACCAAGCGGGCACCCGTGCCCCTGGGCTGTGGCTCGCCCACTTCACAGTGAGCGACTGCAGGGGCTCCTACAGCTGTCTGTCACACTTGCCACACTTGTCACACTTCTTCGCAACAGCTTCACTGAGGTATGATTCACACGCCACATGGCTCACCCATTGTAAGTGTGCAATTCAGTGGTTGTTAGCGCATTCACAGGCTTGTGTAACCATCACCACTATCAATTTTAGAACATTTCCATCACCCCAAAAAGAAACCTCATGCCCCGCTCCCCCTCCCCCAGCTCCTGGCAACCATTTATCCACTTTCTGTCTCTATGGATTTGCCTGTTCTGGATATTTCATATGAAAGGTCTCATACTCTCTGTGGCCTTTCGTGACTAGTGTCTTTCACTTTGCACAATGCTGTCACGGTTCGTCCACATTGTAGCATGTGTCAGTACTGCATTCATTTTTGTTGCTGAATAATATCCCATTGTGTGGAGAGATCGCATTTTATTTGTTCATGTATTAATTGGACACTTGGGCTGTTCCCATTATTTGGCTCCTATGGATAATGCTGCTGTGAGCATTTGTGTGCGAGTCTTTCTGTGGATGTTTCCATTTCTCTTGGGTACATGCCTAGGAACTGCTGGGTCATGTGCTGACTCTGGGTTTAACTTTCTAAGGAACCGCCCGACATTTCTGCAGCAGAGGCTCCATTTCCCATTCTCACCTGCTGTTTTTAAAGTGAGTCTATCCTTTCCTGTTTCCTTGGCTTCCTCTGCACATTCCCTCCAACCCATGGAAGGCCCTTCTCCCACTTCCGACACAGCTGAGGGCAGGGGCCCACTGTGGGGTCCCGTCCTGCCCTCTGCACCCAGTTTTACAACGTGCTCTGTTTTACCATCATTGTGTGTTGGGGGTAAGCGGTGATCAGTCCAGTCACATGTCACCTGCAAGGACCACATTTTCTGATTCAAGCTTAGATAAATTCAAAGTCACAGTGTCCAGGTGTCTCTAGGAGGTCCCCCTGCCAAGGTCTCTAGGGCTGTAAAGAGAATGGTGGCCTGCCATGACCCCATGGACACAAGATGCTAGCATGCCACGTCACCAGTGAGACTGAGGTGGCACAGTGCAGACACACTCCAAGTACAAGCCTGGGGATCAGGAACACCATGCCCATGGGTGGGGTGTAGTGAGCATCATGTCTGTGAACCCGAGCTGGGAAGGAGACGGCTCAGCAGCTCCACTGTGCACAAAGTAGCACTGAGAGCTCAGTACCGGCTCAGTGTGCCAGGCCCTGGAGCAGCCTGGCTCTGTCAAAAACGGGTGGGCCCCAAAGCCATAAACTCCTAGAAGAAAACAGGGGAAAAGCTTCATGACATTGAGTTTGGGAATGATTTCTTGGATATAATACCAAAAACACAGGCAACAAAAGCAAAAATAGACATATGGGACTTCATCAAACATAGAAACTTTTATGCGTCAAAGGACGCAATAAACAGAGTGAAAAGGCAACCTACAACATGGGAGGAAATATTTGCAAATCATATATCTGATAAGGGGTGAATATCCAGAATATGGAAAGAACTCCTACAACTCAATAACCAGAAAAAATTAAATAACATGATTTAAAAATGAGCAAAGGACATGAATAAATGTTTCTCCAAAGAAGAAATACAAATGGTCAACAGGTACATGAAAAGGTGCTCACCATCACTCATCATCAGGGAAATGCAAATCAAAACCACAATGAGAGATCACCTCACACTTGTTAGAATGGCTGTTATCAAAAAGACAAGAGACGGGCCAGCCCTGGTGGCCTAGTGGTTGAGTTTGGCATGCTCTTTGGCAGCCCAAGTTTGGTGCCCAGGTGTGGACCTACAGCACTCATCTGTCAGGGGCCATGCTGTAGCAGCAGCTCACATACAAAAAGAGGAAGATTGGCAGGAGGTGTTAGCTCAGGGTGAATCTTCCTCAGGAAAAAAAAAAAAAAAGACAAGACATAAATGCTAGCAAGGATGTGGAGAAATGGGAACCCTGGTGCACTGTTGGTGGGAATGTAAACTGGTGCAGCCACTCTGGGAAACAGTATGGAGGTTCCTCAAAAAATTCAAAATATAAATACCATATGATCCAGCAATCCCACTTCCAGGTATTTATCAAAAAGGACAGAAAACAGGATCTCGAAGCAATATTTATATGTCCATGTTCATAGCATTATTCACAATAGTCAAGAGATGGAAGCAACCCAAGTGTCTACTGAGGGAAGACTGGGTAAACTACATGAGGTGTACACATACACACACCGGGGCCACGAGCAGCTGCTGTCTCCAGCCTGGACCGGCCCCTCCACCTGCAAAGAGCCACCAGAGCACCTTTCTACCCCTCAAATCCAAACTGGGGAGCCCCAGTGAATGCAAAATATAATCCACATAACCCAACCTTTGCTCAGCACACCCTGACTATCACGGCTGTGCCCTCTGTCCTCACCCTCCTGCCATGCTTCCCTCCCAGGTCCTGACTCTGCCAGCAGCTCCACACCTCAGCCCTGGCCAAGGGCCCTGTGAAGACACACTTGCCTTCTCCAGGCTTTCCCCCACACTCAGCTCCCTTGGCACACGGCCCTTCCACCGATGATCTTCCCTCTTCTCCATCAGCAAATTCCTGCTCATCCCCCCGACAAGATATTGGTGATATACATATATCCAACAGAGGACTTGTATTCAGAATATATAAACTACTGCTGTAAATCAATAGGAAGAACACAGACAACTCAGAAGAAAAATGGGCAAAAGGCTGGTATCCTCACAAAAGAGGACATCTATGTGCAAAAGTATCAACTTCATAAGCCACCAAGGAAATGAAAATTAAACGCTCATGTGAAGCCATTACACACCCCCTTGGAAAGGAAGGAAATACTGCTGGCAAGAATGCACGTGCCACAGCCTCACACGCTGCTGGTAGGAGGAGATCTGCCCCATGCCTGGTAACACCATCTGGCAGCCCTTGGGACAGCTGCTTGAGGGTATGTCCCCAGCCAAAATGTGCCCTCAGGTCCAAAGAACCCGGACTCTGGCAGCATGCCTCTGACAGCCAGACCTAGAACTGCCCAAGTGTTTGCTGAGGTCGGCTGAAGAACGAGCCGGGACACATTCACACAAAGGAGTGACTTGTGGATGAACCAAGCGCGAGCAGAGGCGACAACACGCATGATCTCATGCGGTAACACCAGGAGGGGCCAGACAGAAGGGCACTGATGGTATGATTTCATCTAAGTAAGGTAGGTGGAAATTAATAGGAGAAACCTCAACGAAACTGGAGTCCGGAAGGCCTGCAGGGGGAGTGCTCACACCCCATCACACGCCATCAATTACACTGAACAGGAAGAGACAGATATTTGCATCTCCCACAGGAAGTACAACTACTTTACTACTGAAGGAAGATTTCTCTCCCCACTTAGCAGCAGCCCAGCCAATGGGAAACACCGCAACTCAGCCAATGAGAAATACTGCAGCTCAGCCAATGAGAAACACCGCATCTCAGCCAATGAGAAATGCCACAGCTCAGCCAATGAGAGATGCTGCAGCTCAGCCAATGAGAAGGCATTCCCACCCTGAACTGTTCCTCTCCCCCAATGGACTTTCCTTTAGAACAGCCCCTCCCTCTCTCCCTTTTTCTCTATAAAAGCAGCTCCCCTCCTTTGTTCTCTGGATTTGCCTACAGTTTGCCATAGCATGCATACCCCAAACTGCAATTCTTTCGGCTATGCCCAAATAAACTCATTTTCAGGATAAAATAACAGGCACATTTGCCTTTTAAGTTGACAGGTACAAACCAGGCCATACTCTGTACTGCGGGGAAGTGGTGGCACCCCCTGGGGCATCGACTGGGGGCAGAAGGGCTCAGGAGCTGTGGAATGCTCTGCTCCTGCATGTCAGGGTGAACTTCCTGGGCCCTGTACTTAGGACAAGTCCACTCACTTCTCTGCTGGTATGCTTCACTTCAACAGGGAACTTAAATCTCCCTCCAGGCACATGGACCTCGCCTGCTGTCTGCCTGGAAAGGACTCACAGGCATGCGTTCCAGGAGCCACCTGGCCCTTGGAGCCTCCCTCAGACCTACAAGAACCTAACCACAGGGCCGTGCTTTTCAGCTGTGGCTTCACATGCATCTGATGCAGAGCTGCTGCCAAGGCATGTTTGGGAACAACTATATGGACAGCCACCTGAGCTCACACCCAGAGAGGATGCTGAGGTGATAGGTTAATGGCAGGGCAGCACCTGGGTGTCCTGGGCACGGCATCTCTGGGCTAGCCTGCCGCAGAACCCTCCATGCAGGCTCCTGGTGACATCAGGTCTGTGACCTCGCCAAACACAGTAGCAGGGAGTTCAGCCAGCACCTGCCACCAGCTCAGTACACTTCCATACCTGCATTTTCCTTTCTATCTCCTTTTTTCCCCTTAATTTCTCAGGAGTTACTTTTGCCAAATTCTAACCTGTCTTCAAACAGAAGAGAAAGATTTGTCCCTATCAGGCCCACATGGATAGGGGCAGAGCAGGGGAGGGGAGTGGAGGGGGAGCCCCAACTTACCCCGCCTCCCACACCCCAGCCGAGACACCACTCATCGGCACCCCACCCAGACCAAGCCACACCCATGCCCCCACGAGCCTCACCTTCTCCAGGAGCATGTTGCCCCGCTCCTTCAGCAGGCTGTTGATCATGACGGTAGCAGCTCGGGAGCAGTTCTTGTCGGGATCTCCCAGGCCCTCAAACATGGTTAGCAAGAGGCTGATTAGCTGATCTGGTGGGAGGCGCTTCCCAATAATCTAGGAAGACGGTTGTGTCAGAACAGAGAGGGCAGCGTCAGCATCCCTTCCAGTCATAACATCCCAGGAGCCAAGCCTCTGGGAAGGGCTGACACCATTTCCCATCTCACATCCCACCTCCAGCCTTCCTCGCCCTTTTCCAGGCCCTGTGCGCCTTCAGGAGATCCTGCCAGAGTGCCAGGGTGGGGTGGTGCAGGAGCAATCTCCCAGCCTGGAGCCTGACTAGGCCTAGGACAGCCTTGAGGGCCTGCCAGGCTCAGGCCCCTGGAAGGCAGTCCCTGGGCAGCTGCAGGGTCCACGTCAGAGCACCCAGTGGGGTGGGCATCAAATGGAACAGCACCATCCTGGCTTGGGGGCTCATAGAATGGGCTAGGGGCAGCTTTCTTAACCCCTTGGAGCCAGCCTAGCTCCTGACCACACTCTCCCTGTTGGGCCTTGGTGGGAGGACCTGAGGGAGTGCAGGAAGATGACAGAGGAGGTGCTGGTCAGAGGTAGTCCAGACAGTTAGTTCACTGAGTAAAACTTGCCCATGCCCCCTGTCCCTGCACCTCAAGCCCACTGGCCCCATGTTGTGCCCATCCCGGAGGCCTGCAGAGCCCATGAAACGCACGGTGCTGCTGCCAGAGCCCCGCTCTGCCCCAAACAGTGCCGGTCCCCCTTCCCCTGGTGGTTGCTCCGGCAGGGACCTGGGCTATGCTGTGGCAGGTGTGAAGAAGGATAGCAGGGTCGGGGTGCACGAGGCCATCTTTGAGGGTGAGGAGCCGCTCAGCCACATCATCGCGGTAGTCTCGGGAGAAGCCTGCAGAAGGAGGAAGGAGCGTGGAGCTGGGTAGAGGCCTACCCTGGCCACCTGAGGCCCAGACTCTGCTCCTCATCCCTCCACACCTCTGCCCAGTCAGGGGCTCACCCTCATAGCCCAGCTGGAGGTAGAGCAGGGAGTAGACGCAGCTCACAGCCTCCTGGCGGGTGGCAGACCACAGGTCCGCACACCGTGGGGAGAACAGGCCGACAAGGAGGCCCAGGTTGTGGAAGGGCACCAGAGCCTGGAGAGGAAGATGGGGAGTTGACCTGAGGATACTGGGGAGGATGGCCAGAGAGGAGAGCTGGGGCCCTGAGGATGCCAGGGGTAGGCAGGTGGCACCTCCACCACCTGAACCCAGATATGGGCCAGAGTGCGGCCAGGAGGGCAGCCCCCATCCACGCAGCCCTGGGCCCTCCCTGTGGCCAGCACGGCCCCGGTAAGCTCCTCCTCCTGACAGGCAGGCCAGCCCACCCCCGGCTCACTGCACGCTCTCCACCCCTCCGCCCCGTGTGGGCTCCCCTGAGCTTAGCTCTGACCATACCCAAGTCTACCAGGGTCCATAAGAAAGGAGGAGGTGTGCGCAGGCAGAGGGACAATCCAGGGACTAAGAGGGAGCCCCAGAGGCAGCAGAGGGGGCAGGGCTCTGCTGATTCAGCCAACACCCGTGGATGTGCCCTCCCCTAGAAGGCAAACTCCTCGTTGGGTGAGGAGACTGCACGAGACCCCTTTCACCCTAACTGGGTCCTGGTCCCATCTTTCAGGGCCTTTTCTTCTCTCCTCAAATACGGAGCCTTCCCCACCCTGCTCTGGGCAAATGGCCTTGTATCCTTTTGCCCTGGGCCTGGCGACATCAGTTACCACCCCCAACACACACCCCTCCGTCTTCCTGCCTCGCCTGCCCCGTCGGCCCCCAACATGTGAGGCCTTCCTGGGGCGCACAGCTCTGCTGAGGGCTCGCCTGAAACCCCTCATCCCCCAAGTCACCAGTGTGGGAATTTCCAGTGGGAGAGAAGGCTGGAGCCTGGGACAAAGGACCACGGCGGACCAGCTGCTCTTCCTCTTAGCGAGGTCGCATCAACACACAAAGATGAACTCTAGCTGGACCGGGGTTACTTGAAAAACAGGCCACGAAAGAACTTGGGTGGGAAAAGCCCGTTTAAGCATGCACAGAAGGTGAACCATTGAGAGACACACCACAGATCTGGCCACATAAAGAATGAAAGTCCGAGTACATAAAAAAAAAAAAAAGATGAGAAAAAGCCTACAATCATCCTGATGGATGACAAAAAGATATCTGAAAACATCCAATATCTGTTCCTGATAAAACTCCTCATTGAAACAAATAGATGGATGCTTCCAGAACATGATAAAAATGAACGATGCCAACGAAATCAAGTATTGTGTTTAACAGTGAAACTCTGTGTAAAGCCTTAGACTGCCACCAGTTTTCACCTTGTTCTGGAAGTGCTAGATGACAGAAGGAACTAAGATGGATAACCGGTGGGGGGTAAGGCAAAATTATCAGATTTGTAAACGATATGATCATTTATCTGAAAAACATAAGAGAATTAACTAAAAATTCATTAGAAATAACAAAGGAATCTTATCAACTATGCAGTTTCTAAGTATCCAAAAAAATACATAGTTTTCCTACATACCAGCAATAAGCAATGATTAAGTAAAATTTAAGAAAAGTTACCCCGACAATGGCAACAAAACCTCTAAGTCAGAACATGCTACACAGAGCAACCGTCCAGTGTTTCTGAGGGGCCTGACAACCTGGATGGCAAGATCCATTATTAAAAGATGCTATTGCTCAACAAGTTAATCCATCAATTCCCATCAAAATTGCAACCGGACTATTTTAGGACTGTCAAGTTTATCCTAAAATCACCTGGACTAATGGCCTTGCAAGAACAACTGTTAGATTCCGAAAAGCATCACAATGAGGTCCTTAATCTCAGCAGACACTCAAGTGCGTGGTAAGCAAGCAGATCTTAGAACACGCCCCTCCCACCCACTCTGCCTCCCCAACAGCACGAACCATTTCCACAACATCCCGTGTGTGCACGTCCCTGCCTTTGCTCAGACCACTGCTTCTGTCTTGAATGCCCTCATCCTCCTTTCACACCAGATCCCCATCATCCTTTTCCACACTTGCGGAACACAGAGCACATTAGTCCCAGCTAACCCATGGGCTCCCGAGGACGAGGATGCCAGCAGATTCGACTCTGAGGGGCCCTGAGGACAATTCCTGGTCCAGATGGGTCCTCCATCCACATCTCCAGAAAGAGGATCATGGGCCTCGCTGGAATGCGGGATGAGCCAGGGCAGCAGCAGGAGGAAGGGTGCTCTGGGGCGAGGACTGCACACAGTGGTCCAAGCCAAGGGACCAGGCCCAGGGCCAGGGCAGTGGCTGTGTGAGCACCGCGGCTACTCACGCTGATGTGCAGGTGCTCCAGGAAGAAGCGCAGCAGGCAGGCGCTCAGGCCAAGCGCCCGTGTCCGCTCGTGGCCCCTCGGGGACTTGATCCACGGGCTCAGGTGCTGGGGAAGAGGGGGCTTCACACAGGCGCCAGCTCAGGCAACAGCCCAGGAAGCAGGAGCCTATGCACCATGGTGGGTCAGTGTCCCTGCCAGGCCACCCTTCCCTGCTGCAGGGACCAGCAACCAAGTCCCAGCAGGTCACCTGCCAGCTTGCCCTGCCCCGTCACTCTGTCCTGCTGGCCTGGCTCACAGACATGGCCACGCCAGGTGGACCCAGAGTGAGTCAGGCCTGCAGAGGAACAAGGTGTTCCTAGAAGCAGGCCGATCCTGCCCAGCCCACTGCAGTGCTGAAAGGGCAGGAAAAGATGCAGCACAGCCACCACCTGCCCATTCTGCCATCTTGATGGCCTCGGACAGCCAGGAGCTCACATCTGGGGCACCTGCAGGGTCTCTCCATCCCGGCACCATGCGATGGTGAGGGAGGAGAGAACAGGCTCCATCTAGGTCAGGGCCTGCCCCAGCTGCACACCTGTTCAGGCAGGAGGGGGCGCTGCCTGCACCCTCACAGACCCCACCCCCACACTTGCAGAGAGGACCAACTGTCCCTGTGGTGCCCCCATGGCAGGGAAGGCCAGGAGAACCAGGCGAGGGGCTGGCTGCCAGGTGGGGCAACCCCCTCCCCGGGCAGTGCACACCCACTGCACACCTCCACCATGATCTGCAGGCCCTGGGGAGTCATGTTTCGCCGAAGGAGGCTCGTCAGCAGATCCTCAAGGGCGTGCACGGTATCCAGGTAGAGAGACTGGAAGGAGATGAGATGTTGGCCCCACTGATGACCCCACCGCCCACAGTGGCCTTCCCGCTGCCCCCCACAGATGCAGGCCCGTGGTGAGGGACACGCAGTGATACCTCCTGGTGGCCATCTTCCCCCTCAGGCACGGGCACCACAGCCATGATGCTGTGCAGACAGCCATGGATCACATCTGCCTGCGTCTGCTCTTCCAGCGCCGGCTCCAGGGAGCTGAGCCACAAGTTAAGAGCCTGAGACCTCTCTAGCCCCACAATGCACCCCTCACCCAGAGCACACACACAGAACGGCCCTCGCACGCAGGCATGCTGCCACACCCGGAGGAAAGGATACACCAGGTAAGTGCAGGCAAGCATGGCCTTCTTCCGAATGGGTGTCCTCAGGGAGTCTGGGGGCTCTGCCCTGATGAACTCCTGGGGGAGACAGTCACGTGACCCAGCCCTTGGCCGAAGCACCAGCTTTCCTCCTGGCAGGCGCTGGCTTCAAGTCCACTCTGTCTCTCAACCTATGTGGGTGCTGGGGCCCCTCATGCACGTGCCTCCCAGTCCTCCCCTGGCCCACCTCCCATCTGCATCAGCACCCTCGAAGCTGCCCTAGGAATCAGCCCAGGAACACCCGGTGCTCACCATCATCTGTGCCACCAGCTCTGCTTTCTGTGAGAAGTGGAAGGAGCCGGCTTGTGCACTGCTGCAAATGGCCTGGCTAGCCATGCACACAGTCTGAACGAGGCACAGCTTCAGGGCTGGGTCCTGAAGGGACACAGGGCTGCAGGAGGCTGCCAACACCGGCCCCTCAGTGTGGACCTACCCTGAGGTGGTCACTGTCTCTTAGCCCATGGGGCTAGGCCCAGAATGGAGGGCTGCCACAGCAACAGATGCTAGACCACACCCCCTCTTGTCCCTCTGCAGCTGGAATCACACTCTTAGAGAGAGGCTCTCAGCCAGTCCTCCTCCAGCAGCTCTCAAAGCCACATGGGCCAAGAGGGGGTCTGTGAAGGAAGCCCTAAGGCATTCAGCTCTCTGCCTGTCCTGGGCCAGAAGTCCTTGGGTCATGGCCCTGGGCAGACGACTGTAGGCAGATGGGGCTCTAGGGGGCTGGAGAAGGCGACGAGGGTAGCTATCCTGGGGACACAGAGGGCCGGCCCCTACACTCTAAGGAGCTTGGGAAAAGAGACAACTCTCAGAACAGCCCCCGCCCAGCCACCCCCAGGAGCCCCAGGAAGGTCTGCTCTTCAAGGGGAGGGCCCAACTGCTCCCGGAGAGGAGCTTCCAGGTTAGTGCCAGAGACCCCAGAACGGAAACATGTTAGTGAGGCAGAGGGCCTGGCCACTGTCATTGGCTTCAGAACTCAGCCCTCTCCCAGGTGCTCACTGGGAGGTCCAGCCCCTGCGAGCATCAGGGAGTGGAGCCAGAGCAGAGGGGCTGCCACCTGAGGCTCCTGCCCCTGGCCTGCGAACCCGCCACCCAGCTGCTCAGAGGTGGCAGAAATCCCCCTTCTTCCCACCCACTGTCCAGGTTCCAGGCCAGAACAGGAGCTCCTGGACCTCCATCCTGGCCCAAAGGGAGGGGCTGCTCCAACATAAGTGGGGACAAGCCCTGGAGTTATATTCCAGAATACTCTCCCCCGGACCAGGACCAAGAAACCTCAGTGAGCACCCCCCTGGCTTCTGCCTCTGAAGCTTGCAGCCCAGCCCAGAGGAGAGAGGAAGGCGTAGCTCACACTCAACTCCTACACACTGTACCTTGGTCTCTACCTTTATGCCCAGAACCTGAACAACAAAAAGTGAGAGGAGTTAAAACGTGAGACTCTGGCGCCAGCGTTCCTCCCTCGCCTGCATGGCCCCCCTCCTCCGGGTGCCCGAGACGCCCACCTTGGTGTGGAAGCACTGGAACACGTTCCGCAGGATGTCCGACTCGACCTTGGCTAGCACCAGCTCACGGGGGGCCTGCGCCGCCACGTGCCCGTAACAAAGGATCAGTGCGCTCTTCACTTTGTCCACCTCATTCTCACTTCGATCCTGAGAGGCCAGAGGATCGCACGACTTCAATCACACAGTTAATCACAGCCCCCCAACAGGAAGCCTTGCACTCAAACTCCCCAAGCTCCTTGGGAAGAAGGGCAGAGCCTGGCCACTGGGCAGTACCACTGCACCCAAGGGAGAGTCCCCCTGCCAGGGACAGCAGGACAGGGTAGGCTGACCAGGCTCAGGCCTGTGGGGGACCAAGGGGCAGAGAGGAAAGGACCGAGCAGGAGACCAAGGTGGGAGGGGCAAGCAGGAGGAAGAGCTGGGCAGCTGAAAGGCAACAGAAGGGCCCAGAGTCGTGGTCCCTGTCCCTGCTCGGGCGGCTGCACAGGAGCCCCTCTGTCCTCGGGGCTTCTTCATATCTATGTGCGCAGAAAGGATGGGCTGGCCCTGCATGCCTAGTACAGCCCTGAGATTCTGTAACCGGGACAGGCACTCGGGGACAGAACACCGAGGGACAGGGTGGGGGTGAGGCACACGCTAGTGGTCTACCCCTCCTGAATCAAGCTTCTGCAAGAATGCAGCCTCCGCCAGCCACCAGGTGACTGATGCACAGACCACCAGTGGGACCGGTCGGGGGCAGTTCCCATCCTTGCAGCCTGGAGCCCCACTCATCACCCCAGCTGGCAGAGGGCCACATGCCCCTTGTCACCAGCTGGGAAGGAGACCACATGCACCAGCCCCACCCACGAGGGAGCGGAGACTGGTTGTCCGCTCCCTGCCCCACCCCCAGCCTGAAGGGCACCAGGAGTCCAGGAAGCTCCAGGACCCCTCACCCCCAGGACCTCAATACGCAGTGTGCCACACTGAGACAAATCACAGGCCAGTCCCACCCCAGACCAAATCCCCCAGGGTGTCAGCTTGACCTCTGTACCTTAAAAATGTTGAAAATGCCGACAGATTTTCTGAACACATCTGACTTTACAAAGTCCTCCAGCTGAGCCAGGGTGTCGTCCAGGTGGGAGATGGCACAGATCCCAAAGCAATGGGCGAGGCCCTGGGGAGGCACACAGGTGCACTCACATGCTGCACATGTGTGCACATACATGCCCGTCAGTGCACACTGAATACGTGTGCACACGTCACACAGGTGCACACACTGGCTGAACGCCTGAAGAGGACAGAAGGTAACCACTGTCAGCCAGCCTGCTGGCATCCAGGGTGTCCCATGGGGAAGGTGACAGCACCTCGCGCTCAGCCTCCTCCTGGTATCGGGCTGTCTCCAGCAGCTCCTGCAGATGCTCTCTCACCACCTCCTTCCTCGAGGTGGCGCCCAGGGTGGTTCCTATGCATTTATACAGGAAGTTCTGCAACAAAGCCAAAGTACATGGTTGTGTCTAACTCCTTAGTGGAGGTGTGCCCAGCACTACCATGGTACTGCTGCTGGTAGCGTCCACGCTGCCAACCAGACGTGGAAGGGGTGGTCAAAATCCACCACACTGGCCACTGCAAGGACAGGGTGAGTTCTGGGCAGTGTCTGAGGAGCAGGAGGTGGGGGCGGTGGGCTCCCCATCTCCTGGACATCAGCCACTACGAGAAGGCTCCCAGGCCTTCCTTCCTGGCTCTGCCAGGGCCACAAGGGCCACTAGAGAAAGGCCTGGCCAGCAAGTGACAGAGAATCAGGGCCCAGGCACTCGGAGCCTAGGTACAACACCCAGAACCCCTGGCCGGCTGTCCCCACACACCTTCTCCCGGGGTGTCTCGCTGTAGCAGGGGAGCTGCTTGCACATCTCCAGGCTCAGCTGGCAGGTCCACGTGTTGTCAGACACAACAGTCAGAGTGTCCCGAAGGAACTGTGGGCAGGAGCTACACCAGTGAGGGGCTGGGAGCTCAGCCCTTCACAGGGCTGGCTGTAGATAGCCCAGGGGTGTCACATGCAGTCCCCTCAGGGTGATCCTGTGCCATGGCTCTGAATGGTCTATAATGACCTTCAAGCCCAGGCAGGGCAAACCCCGGGTGGTCAGACATGCAATGGGCTAGGGGTGCAGACAGCTCTTGGCCAGGCAGGGGACAGGAGAGAAGGCTCCCGTGGCCAGGGCAGCTCAAAGCTCCTATAATTTAGCCCCATCACAGCAGGGTGGGCAATCTGTGAGGGCAGCAGACAGTCCTTACCCCAGAGACATCTGCCTGTCCCTCTGCCCCTCCCCAGTGCACCACCAGATCAAGGCATCACGAGCCTGGGAAGGTACAGCTTCCCGAGCATCTGCCGCCCCAGACTCTCCCATCCAACCCAGAAAAGGTCTCCATGCCCAGGACAGGCCACACTCTCAGTCTCCTCTGCCTTCTCACCATCAGCAGCTTTTCCTCCCATTCCTTCTGTGACAAGCTCTCCTCAGTATATTCTGAAATGACCAGTCATCTACTCAGCCTGGCAGGCAGGCCCAGCCTGGCAGGCAGGAGTGGGTAACAGGCAGGAGTGGAGGGTGGGAGCACCCCACCCAGGTCCCACCCGCACTTCCCACCAGGCCTGCCCCATCTTCCGGAGAACACAGGAAGCCCAGGACTGTGCTCACATGCCAGGTGCTCCCTGGTGACACCCAGCGGGAAGTGCCTTTCCTGAACCACAGTAGAGGGCATGTCTTCCAACTTACTAAACCCTGGTCCCCACTGGCCAGCCCTGATGCCAACTGGCAAAAGGGGTCGGGGCAGAGGCGACGCCCACCTCCAGGGGCCTCACCATCCAGGTAGTCCAGCAGCAGGGGGATAGTTGTGGCCCACCGCTGACCCAGCAAAGGGTGGATGTCACGGTGCAGGACGCTCAGCAGGCGCAGCGAGGCCACCCCGCGGCCATCCCCCAGGTAGGGGTTGGAAGACACAGCCTGAGGGAGGCAGAGGTGGGAGCTCTGCCCGCCCGGGGTGGAGGCAAGCCCCCTGAGATGCAGCTCCCCAAAACCCCACCGGAGCACCCAACCAGCCCCCACTGCAAGGCAGCGTCCTTTCCATAGCTGAGTCAGCACGCGGACAGGACTCGGGGACAGGCCGGAGGGGAGAGCCCACTCCTCTCCTGATGCCCCTCGGAGTGCGCCGGCTGCCAGGCGGCCACCTGAGTAGAGGGAGGCGATGCGTCAGCAGCAGTGAAAGCCAAAGGCTGAAGTGCTGCTTACCAGAAGCCTCGTGGTTATGGCGTAGGGAGACGGAAGGGTCCCTGGAAAGAGATGGTGGAAACACTCAGAGGGCTGTCTGCAGTGTCCCAGCCTGTCTGCTGTCCTAGGCGAGGCTGGGGGTGGGAAGGGGAGCTAAGTCAGGGGTTAGGGGTCAGGTGGGGTCAGGGGTTGGGGATGGGATGGGTAGAGTCAGGGTCAGGGGTTGGGGATGGGAAGGGTAGAGTCAGGGTCAGGGGTTGGGGATGGGATGGGTGGGTTCAGGGTCAGGGGTTGGGGATGGGATGGGTGGGGTCAGGGGATCGGCATGGGGTGGGGTCAGGGTCAGGTTTGGGGATGGGGCCTCTCCGCATACCTTTGCTGTCATCGTACTGGATGAGGAGGGCATCAGCCCCCACCTCCTGCCTCTTCTGGGCGAGGTGCACGAGGCTCTTGCACAGTGGGGTCAGCGCCCCAGTGAAGCGCAAGGGGGTGAGGAACTCGAGCAAGTAGGGCCAGAGAACCTGGGGGCAGCACTGTGGTCTGTACGGGGCCAGCAGCGCACGCTGAGGGGCTCCCACTGCAGGCACTGCCGGACTCGGGAAGTCTGGCCAGCTGCAACAAGGCAGCCCCAAGAGCGCCCCACCACTGCCCACCACAGGTCAGCATCCACGGGCGAGGCAGCAGGAGCAGGGGCAGGCCCTTGCACTCACGTCGCTCATCCTGTCCACAGTGGTGCTGACCAGGTAAAGGGTGCTGATGCTGACGGCCCGCACGCTGTTGGCTGTGGGGTCCTCGCTGTCAGGGCCCGGCCTCTGAGTGTGGGGGAAGAGGCAGGAACATGCATGGGGCGCCGCAGCCACATTGCTCTCCATGCTCCAAGGTTAGATGGTGGTGGGCTCTGGACCATGAGGACACAGCCTGTATGGAAGCAGGACACTCTGCCTGGCCTCCACCGAGGGGACGCCCATGTCACTGCCACAGGCAGGAAATGCACTCTATGCTAAAATTGCCCAAGGAAACAGCCTCACCTGGCTTAGTTATAGTCTCCAAAATAAAGGAAACTGAGCATTTCCTGTAAGCCACTGACTCCATAAGAAGTAACTTTGTCCTTGATGCTGGCAATGCTGACATCCGTAGAAATGAGAGGGCCTTTGTGGAAATGATAATCACCCAAGAAAACGCCTACTTTCTATCAAGAATAGACTACAACTTCAGCAGCCTGAGTAGGCTCTGGAGACACCTGTTGTCCTCTTTGCCTAGTAAAATAGTGCTCCAAAGCCTGGCCCTCTGGGAAGCTCCCATGCAAAAAAAGGGCTTCTGTTTTCTTTTTTAAGATTGGCCCTGAGCTAACACCTGTTGCCAATCTTCTTTTCTTTTTTCCTCCTTCTTCTCTCCAAAGCCCCCCAGTACACAGTTGCATATTCTGGTTGTAGGTCCTTCTGGTTCTGCTATGTAGGACACCGCCTCAGCATGGCCTGATGACCAGTGGTAGGTCCACACCTAGGATGTGAACCAGTGAAACCCTGGGCCGCCAAAGCGGCGCGCGTGAACTTAACCACTCAGCCACAAGGCCGGTCCCAGTGAGCCTTCCATTCATGCTTTGAAATACCAAAAAGCAAACGCTAAACAACAAAGAGAAACTGGCAAAACTGCAATGATTATAAGAGACTTAACATTTCTCACTTAGAAATCCAAGGTCAAGTAGAAAAATTAGGGATATTTAGGCCTTGAATAACAACTTTTAAAGCATGCTCTAAATATATAGCTAGAACTTTACACCAAACACACATGAACCACTTTGAAAGCTTGACCATCTATTAGGCCAAAAAGAATATCTCAACAAACTCTTAAAAGCAGAAATGAACCTGTAGGCAATGGAATAAAATTACAAATCCACAATAGCCGTGAAAAGCTATTCATGTAGAAAAATTTAAATATCCTAAAAGAAACTTTGGATTAATAAAGAACCCAAATAGAAACTGCAAACTATCTGATAGTGAACACTGAGACCACATACAAAGGCCATCAGAAGCAGAAATATTAGGACATACCGAACAAGAAGATAACCTTAACTGAAAAAAACACACTACAGGTGAGAAAATATTAATATGAACCAAGAAGAAGAAAAAATATGTGAAAAATTACAACAGTTGAAATATGGAATTTGATTCAGAAATGAATAGTGAAATGACTTGCTAAGGAGGAAATTAGTGACTTGGAAGAACAGATTGAAGCCTTCAAGGGAGAATAAAGAAAGATATAATAGAAGTACCAGAATTACAGAGAAATAAAAATGGAGAGCAAGAAAAATTTAAAGAAATAAAGGAAACAAATTCCCCAGTAATAAAAGATAAAAGAACTCATCAGAACAGGGTCCACAGAGCTGGAGGCAAGGACAGTTGAAAGTGAGCCTAGAGCATCCTTCTGTGCCAGAAAGTAAGGAAATGCTCAAAGAATGATGGACACATGCCACGAGGACACAGGAGCCAGCTCAATGGGGGTTTCCACTGGCCAAATTCGGAACAATCTGACCATCAACGACAGAAAAGGATTATAGACCACTGCATAAAATAGCAACCCACGAGTCCAAACTGAGATACACATATGAACATAAGAATAGGAAAAGCTCTTTGTTACAACAGAGGGCCAAAGCAAAGTATAGAAAAATAAATGGAGTTAGAAAATCATCAAATGATGCTAAAACTAGTAGGTAAAAGTTTAATCAGCAAATTATCAAAGTTTACACATGCTGTAGCATGTATTAGAATTTCCCTCCTTTTTAAGGCGAAATAATATTCCTTTGCATGGATAACCCACATTTTGTTTATCCATTCATCCGTCGATGGATGCTTGGGTTGCTTCCACGTTGTAGCTATTGTGAACAATGCTGCTGTGAACAAAGGTGTGTACATCTCTTCAAGTTCCTGCTTTCAAGTCCTTTGGGTACACACCCAGAAGTGAAATTGCTGGATCATATGGAAATTCTACGTTTAATTTTTTGAAGACCCACCATACTGTTTCCCATATCACCTGAAGCATTTTACGTTAGGGAACTTGGCTTTTGAGACATTCCCTAAGTGAGAAGATTGTTGTGACTGCCTGAGCACTAAACATCTGCTTCTTTTGAGAGTCTGGAATTTGGTGCTTGTGGTGGCAGTGTGTGCCTACGTAGTCTGCCTCCAATAAAACCTTGGATTCTGGGGGCTGGCCCCGTGGCCAAGTGGTTAAGTTCGCGCGCTCCACTGCAGGCGGCCCAGTGTTTCGTTGGTTCGAATCCTGGGCGCGGACATGGCACTACTGATCAGACCACGCTGAGGCAGCGTCCCACATGCCACAACTGGAAGGACCCACAACGAAGAATATACAACTATGTACCGGGGGGCTTTGGGGAGAAAAAGGAAAAAATAAAAAAAAAATCTTAAAAAAAAAAAATAAATAAAAATAAAAAATAAAACCTTGGATTCTGAATCCCAAAGGGGCCTCCCTGGGCAGAAACCTTGCACTTGTGTTGCTGCATTTCACTGCTGCAGGAGGGAGCGCATCCGTGTGGCCCCTTCTGGGAGAGCACAGGAAATCTGCACATGGACTGCAGCCGTGAGTACAATCGCCTCTAAGTCCTGTAAGGCCTTCAAGTGAATCACCAAGCATGTAGGTGGTCTTAGGACCTTGGGCCCAGAGACATACACCAAAGCTCACTCGAGACAGACAACCTAAACAGCTCTTAGTCTAATCAAGAAGTTGAATTCATGGTTAAAAACTTTCCAACAAAGAAACCTCCAGGCCCACATGGCTCCATTGAGGAATTCTACCAAAGATTTAAGGAAAAATGATACCAATTCTTCAGAAATTAGAAGAGGAGGGAACATGTCTGAATACTTAATGAGGCACCAGCATTACCAGTGAAAAACATTACAAGTAAAGTATAGACCAACATCCCTCCTGAAGAGATGCAAAATCTCTCTACAAAGTATCAGCAAATCAAATCCAGCAATATATTAAAAGGACAATAAATTATCACCAAGTGGGGTTTATCTTGGCATTGTAAGGTTCACTCAACATTTAAAAAGCAGTTGTTTATGTCCAAAAGAATTTAGGGGCTGGCCTGGTTGCGTAGTGGTTAAATTCACGCACTCTGCTTCGGCGGTAAGGGCTCACAGGTTCAGATCTCAGATGCGGACCTAGCACCACTCCTCAAGACACACTGTGGCAGTGTCCCACATAAAACAGAGGAAGATTAGCACAGATGTTAGCTCAGGGCCAATCTTCCTCGCCAAAAAAAAATTTAAAGCAGGATCTTTAATAGTAAAAGACTGAACAGTTCCCCTTAGATTGGGAACAAAGCAAGGATGTCTACTCTCCCTGCTTGTATGCAGCATTGTACTGAGGTTCTAACCAATGCAATAAGACAAGAAAAAGAAATAAAAGGCATTCAGACTGGAAAGAAGAGTAGAACTGTCTATCAGAAGAAGACATGATGCTCTTTGTAGAAAATCCCCAAGAATCTATAGAAATCAAGGCCACAGGCAATATTAAGGTCAATATATAAAAATCAACTATATTTCTGGGGGCCAGTCCCATGGTCAAGTGGTTAAGTTCGCGCGCTCCGCTTCGACAGCCCAGGGTTTCACCGGTTTGGATCCTGGGCGTGGACATGGCACCGCTCATCAGGCCATGCTGGGGTGGCGTCCCACATGCCACAACCGGAAGGGCCCACAACTAAAAATATACAACTATGTACTGGGGGCTTTGGGGAGAAAAAGGAAAAATAAAATCTTAAAAAAAATTTTTTTTTAAGTCAACCATATTTCTATACACTAGCAATGAACAACTGGAGATTGAAATTAACAAAACTATACTATTATAATAGCACTAAAACATAAAATAGTTGCAAGTCTAACAAAATATGCACAGAATATATACGCTAAAAATTACAAAACACTGATGAAAGAAATCAAAGAAGACCTAAATAAATGTAGAGATGCACCATTTCCATGGATTGGAAGACAATATTATAAAGATTAATTCTTCCCAAACGGTCTACAGATTCAATCCAATCCCAATCAAAGTTCAAACAGGCTTATTTTTGTAGAAATCAACAAGATGATTCTAAAGCTTATATGGAAAAGTAAAGAAACTTTAATAGAAAACACGACTGAAGTTGGAGGACTCTCACCGCCCGACTCCAGACTAACTGTGAGGGTGGGCCCGACCAAACCCGCGACACGGGAGGGAAACACAGTCCATAACGCCACCTGATTTTTGACAAAGATGCAAAGACAATTCATCAATGTAGAAAGAAGAGTCTTTTTAACATACGGTGCTGGAACAATTGGACATCTGTATGCAAAATAATGAACCTCAACGCACACCTCACATTTAAACAAAAGTTAACTCAAAATGGATCACAGACCCAAACGTAAAATCTAAAACTTAAAACTTCTGGAAGAAAACATAGGAGAAAATCTTTATGACCTTGGCTTAAGCAAGGATTTAGTAGCTAGGACATCAAAAGCATCATCCAAAAATTTAAAAATTGATAAGCTGGACTTCTAAAATATTAAAACTTCTGCTCTTTGAAAGACACTGTTAAGAAAATAAAAAGATGGGGCTGGCCCAGTGGCATAGTGGTTAAGTTCACGTGCTCTGCTTCAGCGGCCCAGGGTTCGCTAGTTTGGATCGCGGGTGCAGACCTCTGCACCACTCATCATACCATGCAGTGGCAGGTGTCCCACATATAAAGTAGAGGAAGGTGGGCACGGATGTTAGCTCAGGGCCAATCTTCCTCAGCAAAAAGAGGAGGATTGGCAGTGGAAGTGAGCTCAGGGCTAATCTTCCTCAAAAAAAAAAAAAAAAAGAAAGAGGGAAAAGAAAAAGATAAGCATGCAACAGACTTGTCAGAAAATATTTACAAATGATAAATCTGAAAAAGAACTTGTATCCAGAATATGTAAAGAACACTCAATACTCAATAATAAGAAAATAAAGTATCCAATTTAAAAATAAGGAAAAGATATGAACAGACATTTAATCAAAGAAGATATGTGATGGCAAATAAGCACATAAGACGGTCAACATCAACAGTAATGAGTGGAACACAAATTAAACCCACAGTGAGACACCACCATGTCAGAATGGCTTAAGAAATCAACAATGCTGACCAGAAAGCCCCCAGTGCTCACAGGGGTGCAGAGCAAGAGGAGCTCTTACACACCGCCGGTGGGAGGAGCCACAGTGGAAGACACTTTGTGAGTTTCTCATGAAGCTTAACATGCACTTCTCATCTGTCCCAGCAGTCCTACACCTGGGCATTAGCCCACGGTGTACAAACGTACACCTCGCAGAAACCTGCACCCAAATGGTCATGGTGGCTTTATTCATAACTGCCAAACCTGGAAACAACTGAAATGTCCAACTACTGGTGAGTGGATAAACAAACTGCGGTACTACTCAGCAGTAAAAGTGGACAAATTACGATGCATGTGACAACACAGATGACCTCCAACACATGATACACGTGAAAGAAGTCATACTCAAAGACTCTGCGCTGGACGATGCCACTTAGACGACATTCTGGGAAGGGTGAGCTGCAGGGGCAGAAGGCAGATGAGAGTTGCCAGAACCTCGGGGTGGAGGAGGGGTAGGCTACAAAGAGGCAAAGGGAATTGGGGGCCTGGAATGTTCTGTGTCCTGATGTGCTGGTGGCTGCATGACTGTGTTAACTTGTCAAAAAACACCTAATGGTACATTTAAAAGGGTGCATTTTACTGTATGCAAATTACACGTCAGTAACTCTGATTTTAAAAGAAAGTTGGGGGGGGAAGCAAAAAGTACAGAGGAAACAGCAAAATAACGATAAATAATAAACAATTCTAATCTTTAACTTACATTTCTCCAAAGACATTCTAGGGGAATCTAAGAACGAGGAAAGCTTTTTGGGTCCCCTTTTCTCTTTCCCAATGCCCTTGAACTTGACTGATTGTTCCAGAATCAGTCAGGACTCACCCCGCCTCTGTGTGCCTTCCCGAGGCGCCAGCCCTGCACTGTACAGCCGCAAGCAGTACACCAAGCAAGAAGATACACACACAGAGCGCTGCTGTTTTTAAAATTATTTTAGTCTGTTAGATTTCTTCCTATTCAAAACGCTGACAATGAGTTACAGAATTCATAGTAGAATCTTCTTCCTCAAAAGGAATTGAAAGTACAATTCCCAGAATAGGAGTCTGTTAGTTTTCTAATATTAAAAGAGATCTTCAAATCCCAAAATACAGGGGTCTAACAGACTTCGCAGAATTCTTGATTCTCCTCAGTCCCTGTCTAATGACTTTGAAGCTGCCTGTGAAGGTGCAGAGGTTGAAACTGGCCAAACTGACCAGCAGGCCCAACCTCCCCGAGGCCTGCGGGAAAAGCGCCAAGCCGGGCTGCCCTGCCCTGAGGGCTGACAGTCCTATCAGGGGCACAGGAACAGAGCGGCCACTCGCTCTCGTTGAACTCCAGTGCTTCAACATAAATGCAGAGGTCCCATCTGGGGGCACGAGGGTGCCCCAGGCAGGGCCACCTCAGTTCCGAGCTGCCCTTAGCATACAGGCCGGCGCTGTGGACTTGAAGAGACCAGGTCCAGAGCAGGAGGGCCCAAGAGCCGCTGCCCTCACCGTGGGCTTGTGGCAGTGACATCGAGACCGCCCAGTTGTGCCTGTTTATTTGCACCACAGTCTACCCTGCTCTCCCTCAAGAAGAAACTGGGACTTGCTTAATAACTTTTTAAATAGAAAACCCCCAAAGAGAGCCACGTGTCTATTCTGCCTCTCCTTTCTGAGTCCTGGAGCTAAGGAAGTGAGCCACCAAGGTGCAGAGGCCCTGACTCAGGAATTAGAGAAAGCTGCTCAGCACACAGACCCAGGCCCAGGCCTTCACCCACCTCGCTGCCCTCCAGCTGGGGCCAGGCGGCTGCTGATAACCACAAGCCCCGACAAAGGTGGGGAAACGTGGGCCCAGAAGGCCAACAGCTCCTGGACCCCAGAACAGGTGGGTGAGGTGGTGCCCCCTTACCTCAGTCTCGGGGGACAGCGCACACTGCTGCACGATGTACTCGATCATCGCCTCGCCTCCAGGCTGCTCCAGGTAGCCATGGTGGGCCATGGCACTGATCACCTGTACCACAGCCCGCTTCACCTGCCCAGAACCAAAGGACAGCAGGGAGGGGCCTCACAGAGAGCTCCTCACAGTGCCACCATAATCTGGCTGGAACACAGGAATCTTGCCCTTTCCTCTGCCTGCACCTGTGCCTGTAACTACACCTGCACTATACTTACAGTTGTGCCCGCACCCATACCCATACCTGCTCCCACACCCGTGCCTGCACTGCGCCTATACCCGCAAACCCCCACCTGCATCACACCTACACCTGCACATACACCGACCTCTGCACTACATCATACCTGTACCCAACTGCACCTGCACCCATACTGGAACCTGCACCTGCATCTGCACCTTCACCTGTACTGGAATCTACACCTTTATCTGCACCTGCACCTGTGTCTGCATCTGACCCATGCCTGCTCCCACCCCTACTTTCTTCACAGCCGCTTGGCTACACAGGCAGCCTTCTCGCTGGCCTGTAGACATGCTCACATCTTCAGGGGAAGGCCTCTTCCTCCTGTCCAACACCTCCCTCCTCTCCCAGGCACTAGACTTGCTGCTTCTCTGGCTCCAAACGCACTCATCCCCTCTGTCCAGCTCTCGGCCCAGCCTTGGGCTATAGGGCTGCTGTTCCTCAGGGTCAGTGCCTCTCATGTGCCATCATCCCTGGCTCTGTTTCACCCTTCAGGGTGAGGTCCCTGAACCTGCAGTTGTTGTCCATACACTCCTGGGAGTTCTGAGCCCGCTTTCCAGCCCCACTCAATAATTCCAGCCAGTGGCTTGAAGACACAGCCAGGTCACTGTGGCCAGAAACAGCAGCCTCTTCCCCAGAGCTGGTGCCTCCTCCAGGGCCTCCCGAGGGGCGGGAGACTGAGGTCAGCCATGTGGGCAATCAACCAGGTCTAAGCCACGGAGGTCCCCATAAAGACCCTGGACACAAGGCTGAGGGGTTCTCCGCTTGGCCACACTCCATGTGTGCTGTCACATCACTGCACGGGGAGCTAAGGCCACCAGGGACTCCATGGGGAGAGGACAACTGGGAGTTCTGTGTCTGGCCCTCCTGAGCCCACCCCATGCGCCTCTCCCATGGCTGAGGTCAGTCTCTGTCTTTTCAGTGTAATAAGCCGTAACTGTGAGTATGACAGCTCTCATGAGTTCTGGGAGTCCTCTAGAGAATTATCAAACCTGAGGGTGGTCTTAGGGACCATCACCTACTTCATACCTGGTTAAGTGTACGGGGGTAAGATGTAGGGAGGCCTAGACACATCACTCAACAGCGTGCCCATTCCTGCGGTCTCCCTCTGCTGTCTAGGTCTGGCTGAGGGGGCAGCTGCCTGGTCAGGGGTAGCCTCAGATCCTGGCCAGGCCACATGCCCTTCGGCTGCCACGGCAGAGCACAGGCTGGCCCCACCGATTTACCTTGCTGTTGGTGTCCAGGAGAGGAAGCCTCAAGGAGGAGAGAATAAAGGGCTTCTTAACTTCCATCTGAGCAGCTGCAAGAAATGAACAGATGGCTCAGTCTCCCCACTGAGACCAAAGCTGGCTGGCGCGTCCACCACCATGAGGTCCAAGGCCATGTCGTCAGGAGTCTGGCCTCAGGATGGCCCTCCATGTGGGAGAAGGACGAGAACACATAAGCAGAAGCCCACCCACGTCCGTCCAGGGGACAAATGACTTTTTTTCCCAAATAACATTATTTTACCCAATTAAAAAGCTAGAAGCTTGGTAGTTTAGGGCAGCAGGTAAAAGAGTGGGCTGAGTCAGTAGACCCAGGTTCAAGTGTGAGAGGTGCCTTTAGCAGTATCAGAATCACAGGCAGGCTTGTCAGACCCTTCCCTGGCTCTGAGCCACAGGGCTGGGTGGGCTCGAGTGTGTACTTTCCACATGTTCCCAGGTGAGCTGACGCTACTGGTCGAGGGCCCCACTTTGAGAACCAGCAATATAATTCTTTGTTTCCTGATATTTCAATTATAATAAAAAGTGACTATCAAGAAGCAGTAATGAGGAGCTGGCCCGGTGGCACAGCTATTAAGTTTACACGTTCTGCTTCGGCAGCCTGGGGTTTGCCAGTTCAGATCCCAGGTGCGGACATGGCACCGCTTGGCACGCCATGCTGTGGTAGGTGTCCCATGTATAAAGTAGAGGAAGATGGGCACAGATGTTAGCTCAGAGCCAGTCTTCCACAGCAAAAAGAAGAGGATGGGCAGCGGTTAGCTCACGGCTAAACGTCCTCAAAAAAATAAATAAATAAAGTAGAGGAAGATGGGCACGGATGTTAGCTCAGGGCCAATCTTCATCAGCAAAGAGGAGGAAGATTGGCGGTGGAAGTTAGCTCAGGGCTAATCTTCTTCAACAACAACAAAAAAAAGAAGTGGTCATGAGATTAACAAAAATGAAAACAGACACAGTGTGTGTACACCATGTAGGCACCCTTCGAGGCACTCTGTATGAGAGCGCTTTTATTCCACAGGACAATCCTAGGGGAGAGGTGTTGTCATGACCCCATCTCACATGAGGAACCTGAGTCCTCAGGGCTTTGGAGCAGCAAATGCCAGAGCCAACCACAGCGATTCAGGCCTGGAGCCCATGCCTCCTCCGGCCCACCACTCAGTGAGCAGGGTGGCAGCACCAGGCACAGTGCCAGCCACGAGAGTTGGTCATGATAACACAAAATAAGAGCAGGAGACACACACTGTACAAGCTGAGAAAAGACTGATTCTACACCCAACCGTGAGACAAACTGCTGCTCCTGTAAGATACTACAAAGGGTCTTCCAGAGCACAGAACTGGGAAGCATGGAAGACAAAGGCGGTGAAGGAGCATACTGAGGCTCAGACTTCTGTGAATCAGAACGGCATGAAAAGGACTGAAAAGGGGACACCAAGGTAGACAAGATAAATACACCATACAACCAGGACTCACGTCCTCCATACACAGAGAATCCCACCCGTCGACAAGAAAAAGAAGGACAAAGCAATAGAAAAATGGGGAAAAGACTTGAACAAGTCCCCACTGCCAACAGACGTGCAATGCCGTGGGAATCCACCACCTGCCGGTCCGGAGGCCAAGGACAGCTGCCCCACGGGCAAAGTCGAGTCTGGGACAAAGCCACGTGCGAGCAAGGGGCAGAGCGGCTGGGATGCCCAGAGGTGCTAGGGACCCCGGCACATGGCTTTGGGAAGCAGCTCGGCATCACCTATGATGGCTGAGGAGCTGCAGTGACTCCACACAGGTGAAGGCCCTGCAGTGGTGGCAAGCCCTCACGCATGCCTGGGCACCACACTGGAGGGCAGGCCCAGCCTAGGACGTGGCAGCTGGGGTGATGGCACTGTCTGGCCACTGACCAGGACTCGGCAACCAAAGCGAGCCAAAGGTTGGTAACGCTGCCACCCAGAGGGTCACTAAAAACATCCTACTGGGCAAAGAAGGAGAAGAGGAAAGAATGCAGCAGGGTGATTCCACCTGTAAAAGCTCAGAAACAGGCACGACTGAGGGCACACGAAACCACAAGGGCGGTCACCGGGAGAGTCTGAAGAGTGGCTCACGGGGGCAGCCCTGAACTTTTCAGCTCATATTTATATTTCCCAATAAAAGGTTAGAAAGACTAAAGAATATAAACAAACAACCCAATAGAAAAATGGGCACAAGCTGACGGCAGGCCCTGCCCCAGAAAGGGGAAACAGGGACATCAGCCAGGGCTCAGGGCTGCCACACCTGAGAATGTGGAACACAGGCAGCCAAGGACTGACATCCCTCCAGTTCCACATTCCCGAGGTTCAAAACAACAAACAAATACAAAAAGTGCAAAGTGAAAAGCAAAACCCACCACCATCGTGCCATGCAGGTGCTGACACTGAAACATGGTGCCCTCCCCTACAGCCTTCCATTCACTCCTCAAGTGTGCTGAGGCCAGCTATCAGCCAGGCCCTCACAACTGCTGAGGACGCGCCACAGCACTCGGGCAGACAGGGCCCTGCCCCAAGCAGCTCATGTCCTGATAGAGACACGTAACACAACCAGATAATAAATAAGCTCATCGCAAACTATAATGATGTCATGAAAGGAACAAACAAGAGGCTGAGAAACAGACTGACAATGGGGTATGAAATCTGGAAGGGTAGATAGCATCCAGGGGCTCTTCTGAACAAGGGACATTGAAGCTAAGACCCAAAGCAAGAGAAGGAGCTGGCCGCGAGGCATGCAGGTGGAGGGGGCTGACGTGACAGAGGAGAGAGGCCCACCATGGTTGGAGCGAGGCTGGGGGACAGTGGCAGGAAGAGGAGAGGCGGAGTGAAGAGCAGGCGCTCCATTCTCACTGCAGTGGATGACCCAGAATAACCAATACCAAGACATTCTAGTAAAACTATTGGACTTTAAGGAAAAAGAAAAAACCCTTTGGACATCTAAAAACAAAGCAAATTTAAAAAAAACACACATGGCATATAAGAGGATAGAAAATCAGGTTATCGGATTCAGAGAGCAAAGATTTATGCCACGATAGGGCTGCCAGATAAATACAGGATGCTCAGTTAAATTTGAATTTCAGATAAACAACAAATAATTGTTTAGTCCAAGAATGTCCCATGCAATACTTGGGACATCTCATTTGTTTGCTTGTCTTTGTTAAATCTGGCAACTTTGTGCCAGAAGAAAATGGAGTAACATGGGATATGTGTACCAAGAATTTTATAGCCAACAAAACTGACCATCAAGTATAAAAAGCACAAATAAACTATTACCAACAAGCAAGAAATCAAAGAATACGTTCCATGAGCCTTCCTGTGGAATCCACTACAGAAAGAGCTTCAGACAATCAGAGGAGCAGAGCCAAGGGCCTCGGGAGGGGGCCAAGTTTCCTACCAACAGTCACCTGTAGAATGAGGACCAAATGAGAGGCAAGAAGGGGAGGACAGCACGTGCTGGCCAGCTGCTCAGACAAGGCCAAGAGAGCACAACTATTAAACAAGGGAGAACAGGGAAAGACATGCAAAATATTTTTCACGTTTTTAGTCCTTTTATTGGTGATGGCAGCATTAGTGTTACTCTAGTGTTATCTTGTGTGTGTAATAGGAGATAAAACGACTAAAAGTGGGATGTTCTAATTCTGTCAATCCTGAGAACCAGATCTCAGGGTGGAGGAACAGATGCAGATATAAGAGGAAAGAATATAAGGAAATGCTGTGCAGTCTGTGTTGAACTGGAAGCATCAGTATGAACTAATAAAGTATCTCTCTATCTATCCTTCCTTCCATCCTTCCTTGTGTCCATCAATCTTTCTTTCTATTTGTCTATCTTTCTGTCTATCTTTCTACCTCTGTCTGTCTTTCTATCTATATAACTTTCTTTCTATCTATCTGTCTATCCATCCATCCATACACTGATATTTTCTAGCTCTGTTTACTGAAAAGGCCCAGAAACAGTGACCACCTAGAAGTAACAAACACCCCTAGCAACACATGGTCATCATGAAAGACAGTTTCTCACTAAAGGAAACTAGGGCTTTTTCGAGAAACGGCTGATTCCAGGTCTGAGGTGAGAAATATCTAAGATCAGCCTAGGCCATCGGCTGTCAGAGATCAGTGAGGTTGTGTCAAAGGACTCAGAACTTGAAGAGGCCTCTGATAGCCAAGATGAGGCAATTTGAGCTTCAATAATGGTAACTGTTGCAGTGAACTGAAATCCATGAAATATGTTTAAACTCATAGGCCCTTATGATTTTTTTTAAAAGGAGACATGATCACCTTTACAGAATGATAGGGAACCAATCTATTATCTTAAAACCTGATAAGCAAAGCAAAAGAATCAAGGATTGATCCTGCCTTCCTTATATGAGCCATACCTCTGGGGAATCAAACAGTAGATGAGGGCTATCTCTTTATCAAGGTATTCCAATCAGTCAGTGAAAAAGAAATGATAGATTAGAACATCACTGAATTTGCCCCCAGGCAGTGAGCATCAATGCTGCCAAGGTCACAGGAGAGAGAAAAACAGATATCAGGTGCCTCCCATCCTCTTGCCAAAGGGATTGAACCTGAGTCTGACTTCGTCTCTGAATCCAGATGCCAATTTGTAAGAAATTCAGATGAAAGAGAAACACGTTGACCCGCACCTTGAGAATGCAGTTAGCAAAACTCAACTGCGTGAAACTCTACAGGCCAAATGGCCCAGGTTCTTCCACAGATAAATCACAAGGGAAGAAAGAGAATAGAGGGGAACCTGTAGTTTAAAAGAGACTTAAATACGGGGCGTGGTTGTTTAATGAGTTCCGAGATTCAGTTCTACAAGATGAAAAGAGTTCTGGAAATGGCTGCACAATAATATGAATGTCCTTATCACTACTGACCTGTACACCTAAAAATGGTTAGGATGGTAAATTTTATGTTATGCGCATTTTACAACAATTATAAACAAACAAATAAAACAACCAATGGCAAGCCTCCAAAGAAAGGAGAGACAAATATATACATATTTTTTTAACGGGCATGACTAAACT